CTATTTAGATAGCTTTCAAACAGTCTATGCACAATTTATGTTTAACAAATATTTAAAATAATTGAAGCAGAAGAGCGTAAATTATAAGAAATTGTGAGAAATATTTAATAGTGTACTTTTTTAATTTATAAAATTCAAATTCTTTTTTAATTTAAATTTTAAATTTAATTAATTTTGTATTTAAAATTTTTGTTATTTATTTAAATTTTTATTTTAACGTTTTTTTTTTTTGAAGACTATTATTAAGAAATCCAAGTTATAAATTAAAATTTTTAATACTTTTTTTTTTTTTTAGTTTTTTTTTTTTATTCTTATATATACATATGTACATATATATATTTTTTTTTATACATTTTTTATTTTTGTACATATTTTTTATTTTTATACAATATAATTTTTTGTATTTTTAATTTTTTTTTTTATATAAACATATTTTTTTTATGTATGTTTTATTGTTATATATTTTTGTTATTTGTACATTTTTTTGGTATTTGTTTTTTTTAATATTTTTTTATTTTCACATATTTTTTTTATTTTTATATATTTTTTTCATTTTTATATATTTTTTATTGTTCTATATGTATTTTTGTTATTTTTTTGGTTTGTTTTTTGTTTTTGTATTTTTGCATAGATTCAAATTTTATAAATATGCATAAAAGGCAAATTTTATGAATATGTTTTATTGGCTTGCACTACAGACATATTAACGAGCAAAAAAGGCAAATGTTTATTTTCCACAGCTTTTGTTTGGTGTGTTGGTTCTTTCGTATTGCTTATATTTCTTTAGCATAATATTATATTGATTTCTTTGATGTAAACCTTTGTTTTCGCCAAATTCAAAATATTTAGTTTTTGCTCTTTTCTTCTCTACACGCTTACGTTGTCATCTTATGTAAATCCTTTACTGAACAATTTTTCGCAACACTTAATACTTTATTAATTTATTCCACAAAAGCCTTCTAGTTTTGAATACCTTACAGAAAAAGAGTAGTATTGGTCTGCCGAAATTCGATTTTCCATCAGATCAAAAAACTGGTTTTGACCAACTGGTATGCAGAACTACATATATACAGAACATGCAAAAAAAACAGATAAATCAGATAGAGATTAGACCATTTGAAGTAATCACTCAAGCCAATACAAAAAATACTGTTTCGAGAAAATCACTTGTAAAGATAAACTGATAGAGCTGATGAATTGAGCGGCAACACTTTACAAACCTGTAACTCAAAAAAAAATTTGAAAAATTCCTTTAAAATTTAGTATGCTATTTAGTTATATGTATAACATCGAAATATGCAAAAAATAAAACAAATTAATTTTGTCAACATTTTACACCTGATGTACCCCATAATTTAATTTACGCTTTACAACAATTTAACTAAATTTACAATTGGAAAAAGTGACGCTATTATTTTGTCCACAACTTTATGCATCTACCTAAACATTTCTTTATCATGCCCAAAGGTTTTGTTTAAAAAAGTAGAGAAAGCGAAACAATTTAAAAATTTAAACCGGCTGAGCAAAAGGCATTTTTATTAAATTTCTCATATGCTGCCTGATAAATACGATAAAACAATGAAAATCTGTCATTTAAGCAAAAATTATTTTTGTTCGATATTTGTGACCTGATACAAACTATATTGTTGGATTTGTTTCGACAGTTTTAAGGTTGTTTGAACACTCTGTACTAAAGTTGTTTTTCGCTTATTTTTAGATTTTAAAAAATAACGTTACCGGTGAAAAAACTATTATTCTCTTTGAAGCAAGTTTCGAGATTATTACAAAATACAAGTAATTTGACATTGAAAAGCATAAAATTGAAAATGTTAATTTTAATTTTTATTGCACAAAGTGAGATAATGACCTGGATAAAAGCATTTCTAAGAATTTCACAGAAATGTCGAATATCAATGAAAACATTCAACGTCATATGGCAATTATTTTGCGCTGTAACATTTAACGAGACCAATTAAATAGTTGCATTAATGAATTTATTAGTACTGTCAGCGATTTCTTGGAATTACACAAAACATTTTAAAGTCATAGCTAACATTGCTTTGTAGTGATTCCCTTATAAAATTGCCACCAAGTGTCCAAAGCATCCCTGAGTTCAGTTCAACTCTGTTTCGATAATTTAAATTAATTATACCATGATTTGCAAAGCACAATTATAAACTTCGCGCTCATTTGGGTTAATTCAAAATAAAATGTGCTTTTTTCTTATCTGAATCATTATTTATTATCATTTATGAAATTATTACGTGTACAAGTATATTAAGTAATAGTCGCCTGCGTGTGCGCACGTTTTCAACTGCTAGAGAGGAGAGGACCACCGCAGAGTTTGCAAAATTTCATTAATAGAATTTGATAACCTTTAATGCTATCAGAAATGTATAAATATGCGCAAAACACTCAAAGTATTTAATTATAGCGCTAAATACGTGTTTATGTTAAATTTAGATTAATTTCGATTAAATTTTGTTCAACGTTCGCATATGTTAACATATGTATGTTTGTATGAATAAACATTGTTCTTAGTCCATGCATACATACATACATACATATGTACATATGTACATAGTATGTGTATTTTGTCATATTTCAAAAATAAATTGCATTCTAATCAGTCTACGCACACACAGTGTGGCTAAAGCTAAATTTGCATTCGGTTATAAATTCCCGGCAGTGAAAGTAACTAGTTACAAACTGCTTTACAACTAGTGTCAATGTAACCCGTTCTATTCTTCCTAAGAAGCTGCTCTTTTGTCGAAACCGCCTATATTGGACTACTATATAAAGCAAATAGCTGCCATAAAACCTGAACGATCAGCATCAAGTTTTTGTATATAAAATTTTTTTATTTGATAAGGTATCTTTACTAAATTTATGCTATAAAAAATACATCTGTGAAGGGTATTGCATCTTCGGTGCAACCGAAGTTAACGTTTTTTCTTGTTTTCTATGCAAGCAATCGGTATATTTTAGATGCCCAGAATAATTTCTTAACACTTTATATGGTTTTATATTTTTTCCATTGAAAAACTTAGAAGCTTTTTTTAATTGGCATTTTGTTTCAGCCTCCGTGTTCTGAACAAAATTTCGATGCGCCCACGTGAGCATGCTCTCCCCCAAACCCACTCTCCAAAAAATGTTTTTGCTCTAACGCTTTTCTGACTAGTTTAATATTAGTCAGACTTGTTGGATGTGTCACTGTAGGATTGCAAATGCATATTTACTTTGTATTCTATAAACACGTTCGTGTGTATTTGTGAAAAGTAACCCATTGGCTTGGTTCAATTGAATTCTTATTTGATTTATAGCTAGTGATCCACAGTAGCAGCTTGTGCTTCGAAAAACAACAATTATTGCTGATTATAATAGTTGTAGTTCGTAGTGATTTGACTGCATTAAAATATGTACATGTGTGTGTGTCGGTCCATATTTGTAATCACAGCAAGTAATCATTAGCAAACAACAATAGCGCACATTTTAATTAACATTGTTTACAAATGTAAATGCCTATGCATATTTACATACGTAGTACTTACATTTGTATTTATGGTAAATGTTAGGGTAGGTCAGCTTTTTAAGAAAATGAAAAAAGTATCTATGGTATTTCCGTGAGTAAAAAAATATGTCAAATACCAAAGAAGTATGCTTAAATTTTATTTTATTTTTTTATTTTTATTATCTTTTTTTTAATACACTTTTTTATTTAATATTTTTTTATAATTATATTTTATGCAGTATTTATTTTTTAATTTTGGATATAATTTTTAATTTTTTTTTTTTGATACTTTTTATTTTATTTTTCTTAGAAGTTTCTAATATGATTGTTTTACTTTCGCTTTTTATTATTTTCATCTAAAAAATGTAATAAAAATCTAAATTAAATCTGACAAAAACATACCCAAAAAAATAATTATTTCTTATCTTTTTTTTCAATTGTATTTAATAATTTTTATTTATTTTTTGGTTATTTTTTGTTTTGTTAATTTTTTTATGTGTTTTTTATTTTTTTGCTTTTTTATTTTTTTATGTTTTTTTTATGTTTTTTTATTTTTTTTATGTTTTATTTATTGAACGTTTTCTTTATATATTTTTTTTCGTATGTATATACATTTTTTTAATTTAGTTTATGTCTTTTAAAATCTTTTATTTAATTTAATTTAATTTACTTTTTCTTGAAAGTGTCTAATAATGTATGACTCTCGTTATCTATTATTCTTCTCGAAATAGTGAAAAGAAAAATCTTATAAAAATCTATGTAACCTGAAAAAAGTTCACTGAGCCAGTTCACCCTAATCTACACAATCGTCTGAATGCATATTTATTTGCCATAAGCTGATTTAGTTATTAAATATTTAGTTAGGCTTCGATTTGCGGTACGTAAATATGTATGTACTTATTTATAAATACTTAATGTATTACGCCTATGAGATAATTAAAAACTCATTGATTATCGTCGGGATTTGGCTTGCTGATCTGTCACTTATCACTCTCGCGTATATACATATGCACACATAGAGTTGTTTATTATTGTGCATGGCACTCGTGCTTTCAACGACTGTCTGCGCTTTGACAGGCGCCCCGCTTTAGGCATCACTGAAACTCGGTTTTGAGATAACAGGCACTGTCATACTAGAGCGTGGTATATTTATGGGGCTTCTACATTTAACAAATATAAACTTATATAAACATATGTATATGCCAATTTAATGTTATAATTTATGTATATTTCCTCACTGCTGTTGCTTGAGGGCGTTGTACTTACATTTTTATCAACATTAAAAATGCTGTCTGCTCGTATTTAGCACATGCATACACACCATATGTGTTGCCTTCCCCTGCCGTTGAGCGTTTTCTACGATTTGCAATTCTTTGTTGGCGCTCGACCCTCAGTTGTGGCTGATAATGTGTGTCTAGTGATAATTTTTGATAAGTTTATTAATTATTTTATTAATTCGAGCTCTTTTATTTTTTCTCCTTTTTTGTAGGTATGCGTATGACCATGTCGACGGCATCAACGATGACAGCACGCATTCAACGAAAAGGTTTTCGTACGCCCTCGAAGCGATATCCGGGCAAGGCGATACCTAGTAAATTGCATTCTGTTTCGCGGGTATGTATTTATACTATAAATCTATGTGTATACTATAAAAGCTATTAGTGAACCGAAATCATTCAAATGAGCATTAAGGTAGTAGTATTCACCTGAATTTAGTAGGGTATCACTGCATCAAATTCTAAAACTGCTGTTTCGAGTTCACACAAGGTGTGCTCCCTGAGGAATAGTCAAGTCGTGGTCCATCAGTGATTCAATTACTCTAACGTTTCTTTTAAATTGGCCTATTTTTATAAAAATCAAATTCTATTAATACTTATGTACATATATTATATTAAATCAGAAGCCAATTTAACTCTATAAATAAACGAGGAATTTTAAAAATTATTTTTCTTATCACAATGCTCACCCTGTGTCATTTTATTTTTGTTTACATTTAGTCTTCAAAGTAATTTTCAAATTTAGAGTAAAATTCATAACTGCTTTTCGTCAATCCAACCTGAGACCGACTTCTCTTTAAAAAATATTCTTTAGAGACTATATCGACAATGGCTACAGACTACGGCAAACTGTGTAATTCACGATGTTTGTTGCAATAAATTCAATATCTTGTCTTACTGCTAAAAATTAACCTTTTCGAGGATATACTTGTATGTACATATGTCACATCGCTAATTTGAGTAGAAAATTTTGTACTACACCACAGTGCTTATAATTTGCTAACTTATTATATTATTAAGTAAAATGTATTAGTTTTCTAATTATAACCTAAAATGTTGCTTAGATTGGTCCTGGTAAATTGGTGCCTGGCAAGCGTTTTCCACAACGACCACATCCACCACCCTGCGATAATTCCAATGATAGCGGTTTTGGCTTCGATCAGCATGTTGAAGTGCAACAGCAGCAACAACTGCAAGCACATCATCACCAGCATTCGGCCAGTGGTAGTAGCGCCAGCAGCAGTAGTAGCAGCAGCAGCAGCAGCAGCAGCAGTAGTAGTAGTAGTGGTAGCCCAGGCAATAGTAGCGACATTATGCAGAACAACAACAACACTGCCACCAATCTTAGCATCCATAATAACAACACCAGTAGCAATGGTGGTCATCATCACGGTAATAACCACCATCATCATCATCATGGACATGGTCATCACCACAGCTCGTCGGCAATGCCGCATTCCGCGCATGTCATACGTGCCATACCGGCTTCAAGGTACGTACGCAGCGCTTAATATTATAACCAAATATTATAGGCTTTATAGACTTGATAATGATTGTATGCTCATTCATGCCCATTCTTACACGAAATCTCTCTCGCTGATGGCACGCTCTAACACAGGTGCCAAATGTGTGTGTTTTTTAATTTTTATTAGCATGAAGCCTTTGCTGGAAAATGTTTGTGCTTTTGTTTATTTTTTTTTTTATAGAAATTCTGCTGTCAATTTTTTCTATTTACCAAAATTTAGTACTTATTCGATTTCGGTGTTACCCTGCAGTCATAGTTAATTAATTTATAAATGCTGCAAAAGGTCGACTTTTTTTTATAAATTCACCTATTGTTGTTGCCAATTATTGCATTTTGTTGCAATTTTTCATTAATTGATATTTTCATATGAGGTTGCATTTAGTTTATTGTTTATTTGAATGCTTATTTTTCAGTTGCTTTGCAACCGTGTTGTTTATTTAGTTGGTTTTGCCAAGCAGTTTATATAACATTGTCTGTATAATTTTTACTGTATCGGGGTACATATTCACACAAACCTGCACTTTCTGTTTATTATTTCAATTTGTTGCTGCTTTGTAGTTGTGCATTATTTGCACGCCAATCAACTTGTAATCAAATTTTTTTCTAATTTTTGTCTTTAATTGTACAGGGTGTACTAGAGTTAGTAATTATCAAAGTGAATTTAATCACAGATATTGATAACAAAATCATAATTAAGACTAAAATTCAAATTTAAATATAAATGATAAATAATGGGGTAACCGAATTAATTTTCAAACCAAAATAAAATTTTACTGCCTTTCTTAAACTTTACAAAAAAACAAAAAATAAAATTAACAATATTTGAAGTAAATATATTAATTAAGCAAAGAAAAGAAGCCAAAATGTTTGAAAAAGTTAAAGAAAGTTTTCATTGGTTTTCTTATAATTTCTTTTTTACTATACAACCGCTCTTCCGCTGCATACTTTACTGTATATTGGGGTATATGTATATAATTTACATATCTACAAATTTTATCTAAAGCGGCATCTCGACAGGCAATTAAAGATTGCTAAAAACCTGAATTGCTAGCAATATTGCCAATAGAGACTGCACATTGCTAATGTTTAGCAATTTATGTCTAAATACATTTCATGCCACATATTGCAAGCAATTAACTGTCATTTTGCTGGTTTGAGAGAGCTGTTTTCATTTGCATACAAATGCATAGCTTCGGTGGCATGATGTCAGCAAAGATGAAATGCCAATGTTTTATGTTTCGTTGCGTAAACTGCTAAATGAAAGTCACATTCAAAACATAAATTTTAACAAAACATGGAAAATAATAATTGTTAGCATATATCATATTTAATTATAGAATTGTTAAAAAAGTTTATGCAACAATTATTTATGTCTTAAAATACAAAATCTTATTTTTCCAAAAAGTTATTTATTTAAAAATGTAAATTTCTACTTTCTCCATTCTCCACATAAATTTTTTTAAAGTTCAAGAGCTCAAACATGCGCTATATCAGCTCGAACATACCTACCCGACGACATTTCGAGAATAAATATTTCAAGATAGCAAATGACCACTCAAGAACATTGCCAACCTCAATGGCAATGTACAATATTTGACAGATGGTTAGCAATGTATATTGTCGGTGGAGATGCGGCGTAATAGCACAAGTGTCTATCTCCAAACGAACCTAACCCGTCCACCCTATTCATCATTGTATACATCGTAATAAAAGTACTTATGGCCCACATCCGGTTCACGTGAACTTCTGCTTATCTTAAAAACGGCCCTTTAATTGTATAACTCATGAAATTTTCTACTACGAAAACGAGATTAAATTTCGTTTGCCCTTATCAGTGCCAAAATGAAAACAACAACAACTTCAAATAACACATTTTTTTTCTCGTTGGAGGGTTACTACACTCGACTTGTTGTTGTCTGTTGAGTGCTGAAAGGCACACTACAATAATTGTTGCTGCTGTTGTAGATTTTGACATGCCTATCTACAAAGAATAATCTTCACTATTTATTGTAACTACAAAGCAATTGATGTACACTTTGTGTTTGTTTGCACGCAAATCAAAAGCGTTGCTACGATAACTTGGCACGAGGTGAGTGGGCAAGCAAAATGAATGATTGTAGGTCATGGTGACAATAGAGCCTTTTGCCGCTGATTGTGTACATGTCAGCAAGTGGATTGCTATATGTGTATTAGTAATTGCATTTTACAATGCACTTGTATGCATGTATATATATTATTTTGCAAACAATTCTTATATTACACTCTGTGTTGTTGATTGTAAACAGGTGCTATTGTTCATGTTCTACGTCGCTGTTACAGCAGTTTGTTTCTTTTGTTTACAATTACTGTTTTTGCAACGGATCGTTGTATGAGAGCAATAATGTGTATAGGAGACTCTCGCTACATATCGATATCTTATCAGTCATGACGACAACAGGAGGAAAAATCACAAAAATTATTGTGGTTGTTTGTTATTATAGTAAAAGAGCAGCACCACTGCTAGGCAACAGGTAATAAACCGCCGGCTTATCAGTTAAGTGTATATAGTAGTAATTCATGTATAGAGTTCGCTCGTCGCAAATCATTGTTGTCAACCGAAAGTGTTTTAATGGTCGAGGATTGAATAAAAAATGAAAGTTTCAATAACCCAAACAAAGCCATAAAATATTGTTGGATATGTTTTGTGTTGTATTCCAGATGGCCCATTAGACAATCTAGTTTATTTGTAGAAGAATATCAGACGTGCATAAAACAAAGTGCCGGCTCAAGGAGATAAATGATTGATATGACAGTTGTCATACAAACTGGCCGATCAAACTCAAGTCCTTGTAAGAGAAAAAATTTTTATATGGCAAGATATCTTCATGAAATTTGACATGGATTATTGTTCACCACATAGGTATAATATCCGAAGAAATTATTTAAATCAGATAACGATAGGTTATAGCTGCCATACAAACTGAACAATCAAAATTAAGTTCTTGTATGGAAAACTTTAACGAGATATAATCACGAAGTTTCGCATAGATTATTGTCCAATGAAAGGCTATAATTTCAAAGAAATTGTTTAGATCGAACATCGATACAAGAAATTGTATAGATTATATTAAATAAAAAGCTTTGAGGCCTGCCAAAACACAAATACTTTACGCATTTTTTTTTCTCGTTCATAAATAATTTTGGAAGACTGCAGGTGATAACGAATAACTTAAGTGAGCTTATACTCGTACGAGACGCGAGGAGTTTATTTTGCAATATATTAAAAAATTACTCAAGTTGTTTTATAATTTAATTTTTATTTTTTTATTTATTTTAAGTACTTTTTATTGAGTCTTTGTTTTGCTATGTGCTTCGCGACCATGCTTAATTTCAAATCAAATGTCTAATAGCGTGTATATGATTTTCACACATGCATATGTATGTATGTATGTGTATGCGTTTTTTCACTCGAATATTCGAGTAGACAGCTGTTGTTTTTATAGGCTTGCAACATGTTGGTACAGAGTATAATAGCTTTGTTCACCTAACGATTGTTTTTATCATCCAAAAATTATCGAGTTAAATATATAGGTTATATATACGAGTGTATAAATGATCAGAATGATGAGACGAGTTTAAATCCGAGGGACTGTCCGTCTGTGGAAGAGATAACTTGAGTAAAAATTAAGATATCTTAATGAAACTTGGTACATGTGTTCCTTGGCAAAAAAATGGAACCGAGTTTGTAGATGATCGTAATCGGACCACTGCCACGCCCACAAAACGCCATTAATCAAAAACCCATAAAGTGCCATAACTAAACACTAAAGCGCAGGGCATCGCAGGAGAAAGGGACACTTGTGGTCAAAAATTTTGAAAATATGGGCATGGACCCGCCCTCTAATAGGTTTAATACACATATCTCTTAAAGCACTAAAGCTACAATGACCAAATTCGCTTAGGACAAATCCTATTAGAACCCCTACCTACAGTGTGGAAATGGATGAAGTCGGTTTATAATCACACATAGCACAATTTTTAATTCCATATGATTCTTTCACTTTCCAATACATAACAAGCACCAATGAATATATTCGGTTAAAACTTTGCCCAAATAGTGCTTTTGAGGTATTCCAACTCGAGTCTAAAAACTGTCAAAAGCGGACTATAACTGTTGAAACACCCACATACCGAATATGTGGAGCCCAGTGCGTATGGCTGACTTTTTGCCGAGAATATCGGTTAATGTGTGAGATATAGAATTGAAATTAGCAGAGAAACCTTTTCTAATAAAAGTTTGTCTGTAAGTCAAAAATGGCTTGAATTGGGTCAATACTTCCCTTAACCTCCATATACCAAATAGAGTTTTGGTAACATGTATAGGTATTTAGCCGTCTTTGATCCTTGCAAGTTGCAAGAGTATAAAATGTTCGGTTACACCCGAACTTAGCTTTTCCTCACTTGTTTAATTTAATCTTTATTTTTACTTTTGTTGAGGCAGTTCGTGTTTGTAACTTGTTCGCGTCACACAAACGTTTCAATCGAAAAGCTCATACGTTTATTGTATGTTTGTTTTTGCATCGCACTTTCAGGTTTTCTGCTTGACCGTATCGCCACTTTGAAATCTTCACTTGAGTTTCTATGTAAATACGTATATTTTGTTACTTATTTGTTTATTTGTTTTAATTTCAAGTAGGTAAACGGCAGTACTTTAGTTACATATTTGAGTTTTCATTTAGATTACACATACAAACGTATTTATTTTGATAAATTGTTCTAGTTTATTTGAATACAGTAAAAAGGTTCGTAATTATATACCAGCAAAAGCGCTTAAATCATAGCTAGCGCAACCTGGCATAGTTAAACAAATTTTTTAATAACACAGTTTACAAAAGAGTGAATTATAGAATCGCTTAAGTAATTACTTTGAAATGTACAATAAATGCAAACAATTTGCCGGTTTTTCTAAATGCTTTAATATTTAGTATAACACGTTACGTTAGAAAAACAAATCTACAAATTAATTAATACGTCACACCCTGTGTTGTGCCTCTGTATACAAACTTATTCAATTTAAGGAAATTTGTGCCTAGTTATGCTACTTTCAAAACATTTTCAGAAAATCAATAAATTTCAAATGTCTGTGTTGTGTTTGCTACGAACGCACAAGAATATTTATAATTAATATTTATGTATGTATGTATGCATATGCTTAATTTTCATGTGCTTGCCTATGCCAATTGAATGCCCACGCTCCGTTAACACAGCCTAACACGTGCCCAGTTGTCCAAGGCTTTTTTGTTATTAGAACAATCATGCATATATTCAGTGTTAGTTTTTTATACAAACAATTTAACAAATATATATACATTGTTGCTATTTTGTTTCAACTAGTATAGCGTGCTTTGTTTATTTATACCTAATTCTCGTTGGGGAATGGAGAGTGCTTTTTGTAAGAATTTGACATACATATGTATGTATATATGTGCATAAGCACATTTCGGCACGTGTCGCTGTATTTTAGTTAATACATACATACTTATGTATATTTAATTGTAGGTGTCGTGGCCAGGTCATTAACCTAAAATTACAACAAAGCGCTAATGGTGCAAATTAAGGGCCAAATCAATTTCAGTACCTATCTCATGGACACACATATACATATGTATGTATGTATACGTACATATGTATGTGTGCAGATATGTTGATTTCTGATAAAATTTCCTTTTTTCGTGTAAAAGAAAGAAGTAAAAATACAGGAAAATCGTTTTTATTAACATCAGTCATTCCTCTGGTTGCTTAGACTAATTCTCAATTTCTTCAAGCAACATTGAATAATTTTAATTTAAAAAAATATTATTTCAATGAAAAAAGGCAAAATAAATGTTTTATTTAAAAGAGTTTCCGGCTTAATAAAACTGATATCTAAACATAAAAAAATATACATATTACATAAATTATTTTTTTTGTATTTACTAAATTTTTTTAAACTTCTCTAAAATTAATATCGAAGACATAAAGTACTTTGCCTGATTTTTTAAAGCATATATGTATGTGATATTGAGTATTTTCAAATTTTCGAAACAATCAGCCATCTTTCTAAATTTTTATGAATTCATGCGTAAAATATTAACTGTATTACAACAACATACAAGCAAAATCTCTACCCACAAATTTTTGCCATATATTTTTTTATTACTTATGCAGTATATGTATGTATGTATGTATGTATGTGCGTCTTAAATCTTATAAAAATGCTTATTGACAAACATGAAACTAATTGCTTCCATTCAACGCAAACACATACATACACATTCTAACATCAACGCCCAAATAAAACAATAAACATAAATACACGCCACCGCCAATTTACGCCACCAACAACAACACATGCGCATGTACTTGTGTGTAGTTCAACACCCAACAAGAAATTGCCGTTTGTCAACTCCACGGACGATGAGGACTATTTCGAAGATTTCTGTACTGATGACTCCAATGATTACTATCGCAAACGCTTGAATTCGGATTCTAACAGTCAGCCGCTCGGTGGCATTAATCAAAATCAAACCACGCAACAGCAGCAGCAACAACAACAACAACCACAATATGCCGAAGATAATCAAACGAGCACGAAGCGTAGAAAGCTCGAAAGCTTTGTGGAGCTCGACAATGACGATGCGTGTAGCGAAGATGCGTTTATACGAAAAATTGCTAGCGCCACCAATTTAGAAGCGCCAACCGTTGAAGCACCGCCACCAACACTGATGCTGCTACCCACAGTGGCGCCCACAAAGTAAGAGAATTTTGTTTGCTTTGATTAATTTTGCTTCAACTAAAATCAAAATTTAATTTGTATATAAGAAAGTTTTTTTTTTTTAATTTTTGTATTTATGATTTTGTTATGTGTTCTCTAAACAAAATTGCTGAAAGCGCAAAGCCGAAACTTTATTTATCTATTATCTATTAACAGCTTTCTGTGCCGAAAAAAATTGTGTGTGAAGTTTTTCAAAAAAAAAAATATATATATATACATATATATATGTACTTACTCATTCTGTTTCTTTCTTAAAGTATATGTGTACATAGTATATATGTATTTATCTTAACTTGTCCTAACCTCTACTTGTATCATTATCTGTATCTATGTATTAAGACGACACGAAGTACACGAAGCTACACTGCCATTTCATGCTCATCTTAACTTTTCGAAAAAACAATTTTTTTTCTCAATTTTTTACCACTCTTAATATTTTTCCACTCGTTTTTTTTTTTTTGCAGATTCATACCAACAGGTCCTCGCGCCATGAACAGAGTGGCACACAAGCGCCAACCGGCGGTGCCGCAAAATACTATAGTGACCTCATCGAATGGGCGTGTGCAGCTAGAAATTGTCTCTCAGCCAGAGCAACAGCATCGTGCGCGGTAAGTCGCTTAATACGATCTACTATATGTTGGCTATTTAACTATATATTTTTCCAATTGATTTCTTGTAGTTATCAGACTGAAGGCAGCCGTGGCGCTGTTAAAGATCGCAGCGGCAATGGTTTCCCCATCGTGCGTCTCACCGGCTACAATAAGCCCACTGTGCTGCAAGTATTCATTGGTACCGATATCGGTCGCGTGGCACCACACATGTTCTATCAAGCTTGCAAAGTGGCTGGGAAAAACTCCACACAGTGTAATGAGAAGAAAGTGGACGGCACCATGGTCATCGAAATTGATTTTAAACCAGAGTCTGATATGACAGTTACTTGCGATTGCGTAGGCATACTCAAGGTGCGTTCCACCGCCACGGTGTTGAGTATTTTATTTATATTAATATTTTTTCCATTTCCTTTATTTATTAGGAACGCAACGTTGATGTGGAACACCGATTCCCGGATCATTTGGCGCAGAAGAATAAAAAGAAGTCAACACGCTGCCGCATGGTATTTCGCACACAGCTAACACATGATGATGGCACTTTGGAAATGCTACAAGTCTGCTCAAATCCTATTATTTGCAGTAAGTAAACTACTACTTACTAAATTTTTTATTAAATTTTCAAAGTTTTTTTGTTATGCCTGCAAGTAGGGGTCAGGGTGTAGAGTCATTTTGCGTCGGATATTGTTTTTCGTGAAATTTTTTTATAAGATTGAGTTGGCTTAGCATAGGTTTTTCTGTTCTCTGAAATTTTCGACATTCCCATAAATGGATCACGGTTAAAAAGACGGTTTAATTTACCGTATATTCAGAATTTTGTAGAGGGAGAAAGAAAATATGGCATGTAAATATTAAAAAACACAAATAATATTAAATTAGATTAAATATTAAAAACGTTCCAAAATATTCTTATATTTTATTATTTTCTTAAGATCTTCCTATAAACGAAAAGGATAAAAACTACTACAATAAGTCCAAAATAAAATATTTTTGTGTTGGTATTTAAAAGAAAGTAAAGAACAGGACTAACTTGCTAATGCTAGATAGTTTTTATTGATATTGCTTAAACAGTGCGGTGTGATCGTGTTAAGACGTTTGAAATATTAATCCTGCATAAGAAATTGTTTTTTGTTTTGTTTTCGTTTTTGAGAGAAAGTGAAGAAACAGAACAAACTCTTTCAAAAATGCTGTTTTTTACTATAGAAATTTAGCTTAAAGAATGAGGTGTGTGTCCTCTTGTTAAAATGTTTGAAATATTAATCCCGCGTGACAAATCCATAGTTTTATTGTGAATCATCAATAAGACAAGCGATTATTACTGATAATCATAACCCCATTTTTCCTTCTCCCTATAGCACAACCACCAGGCGTGCCGGAAATATGCAAAAAGTCACTAACCTCATGTCCAGTAGATGGTGGACTCGAACTCTTCATTATCGGCAAGAATTTTCTCAAAGACACACATGTGCTCTTCCAAGAGACCTACGAGAGTGTGCCGCCAAATGAAGTTGCAACAGAATTAGCTGTGCGTCAGCATTTAGGCGGTGCATTGTGGGAACAAACAGTGCTACCAGATAAGGAATATTTACAACAGGTCAGTTAAAACGATACTTTCTGCTTATTTGTACAAAATTTAATTAATCATATCACTACCTCCCCCAACAGACTCATTTAGTGTGCGTTGTGCCACCCTATATACATCAAAATATACTCAAACCAGTCACTGTGCAATTGGTAATTATTTCCAGTGGCAAAAAGAGCGAGCCACACGCATTCGTCTACACGCCAAAAGGTAGTTACACGACCTTGGCAGCTGCAACCACATTAAGCTCAGCGGCATTGCATGGTAGCTTATCAGCGGCACAAGGTATTTATTTGTTTATTTTACATTTAGCTTTAAAACAGTTTTTATTTAAAACGAGAAGAAAAAAAAATATAGGAAACAGGCGAACTAAATAATCAAAAATAGATAGTGAGAGTGCATTTAATGAGTAGGCAGGTTGGCAGGCAGGCAGTTTGAGGTTAGAAATGAAAAATTTTCGTATAAAGCAAGCAAAAGCTTTAATTAAATGAAAATTACGCAAATGCATTTTAATTGAAAAAATTACTATTTTATAAATAGCATATAAAATAAGAAATATATTTTTAAAATTATTGAACGTCAAATATAAGACATAAATAGTATACAGCATGAGGCTACTGTTTCATAAATAGCAAAAAAAAAAGATCATATATAAGGCAGACATTTTTTTTTATTGTAATAGTATATACCTTTACGTAACTTATATGCAGTTAACTTATAGCAGCAAAATCCAGTTCTCATATATCCCCAACGTTGCACAGAGCTGCGTGCCAAAATCGAAATAATTGCATACATCTTTTACAGGCGGCGTGAAATTTACTGCGATATTTCATACAGATATAGCAATAATTTCTAGCTTTTACGTGTTTAATTTATTATTTCCTGAAATGCTAAATTAAATCGCTGATATCGATTCATGCAAATTACAATTTTTTTTTTTTTTTTTTTTTTTTTTTGTAAAAATCGTTTCCTTTAAAAAGTTGTCTTCTATAGTTTATATATTTTTGTTTTTGTTAAAATGTTAGTGAAAGAAAAAGTAATAAAACTCGTTCTGTAAACTTATTATATGCTTGCAAAACACATAACTACACGTAAATCATTGAAAAAAAGCAACCAATTGAAATATCGCATAAATTTTACTTATATAATTTCTAAGTTCAACGATAAAAAAAAACTTAATTTTAAGCGTGCAAACTGTGCAAACTATATAGCAGTTAAATTAATACAATATTTATATAAAAACTAAGTATACAACAAACCAGCAATTGCCGACGAAGCCCTAAAAAGCTATTCCAAAGTAATAGTTATGCACAAATTTTGGGATTTAATCATTTTTTTCTTAATCAACTGAGCATATCCCGAATTCGGCTAACTACTACAAAAACACAACTTGAAAGCGAAAATTTACATAGCAAGTACAACAGTTCAGAAGCAGAACATTTCATTCGACATTTATCATGCACTGTGACAACGTCGCTGCCGCCACCGCCATCGCCGAATCTAATCCAGACAACTTTGATGTGTGATTGCTTGCTCTGTTAATTGAGTTTTTTAAATTGCTTTGTACAATACAATAGGAGCAGCAGCTACATACATTCTATTACTTTAGCATACAATATTGGTTTCACTTGTAATCAGTTAGTGTGTTGGCTTAACGTTTCTCCTTAGTTTTTTCGGTAGTCGCTTTGCTCATATTACACAATTTTTGTTTTTTTGTTATGTTGAAGAATCGAAAAAGAATTTTTGAACGTTTTAGTCGAATTTGTTACTTTCCAACGCAGTTTGCCGGTATGAATGTGTAATGTTTGAATGTTGGCGCAGAGTTTTCTTGGTTACATTTGGCGTGCGGTAGAACGCCAACGATGCAGCAAAAAATAAAAATAAATAATAATGAAAAGAAGCCTTGTATTGTGTTCTCCTCTGCATCACAAAGAATAAATCAACAATAAAGTGCTAGATGAGCTCTTATACCAAACACACAGCTCAGTTTCCGCAAGCTATTTACTTGATTTGCAGTTGCTTTCACTACTATTTGTATACAGTATTTAATTGTATTCAAATATTCGTATAAAGAAATAATAAACAGCGGTAACGAATTGGATTTTCAGAGATGGAAGACTTGAGTTCTCAACAAGCAAGTCACAACAAACACAAAACTTAAATAGAGTCTTTTTAACACAGGACCCAAATTTTATATGATAGGCAGCTTTTCAACGTTCAGTCTTTTTTGGCTTGATTGCTTCTGTGATTAGGAGATTTAATCACATACAGTAAGAAAAATACCAAAACGTTCACCTGATAAAATGGTTGAACGCAAATAAGAATGACAAAACAAAACAAAAAAAAAAAAATAATGCTCTGTGTTTAAAAAAAAAAACTTTAAAATTAAAAATTAAAAATTGAAAAAAAAAATCAGCAAATCACAATAATGAGCTAAGTCATTAACTCCCAAAAGGATTTTGTTCAACACTAATCACAAAATATTTTTACTTTATTTTCCCCTTCTCCTAGCAATTTAGGTATTTGTGAGTGATATCAAATCAATTGAAAAGCGAAAGTATATTCACATACATACATAAATATATAAATATCTATATATCGAGAATGCATATATGAACTTCAAGCTGTTTCAATGTTGACAATTGCAAATGTTGCGCGTCGAACGATGCCACCAAAAACACTACGTTACTTTGAAACACTTGAATGTCTTGAAATATACGCGTATATTAAAAATTAAACAATAAAAAAAAACGTAAACGTACATATAAAAAATAATAAATTTAAATGAAATTTAAAGCGATCTATAGAAAGAGCAACTACAAACATACATGCCGCTATTGCTGTCGTTGAAATCATTTTCTACAAAAGCTTATCCGAATCAAGCGCACACACACGCACACTTGTAGATGTCCAGTGAAGAGACCGACTTGACTGAAATTGCTAAAGTGGCACAGATTTCCATTTCTGCTGCAACAGCTGACTAACCGGTATGCAAAGAAAATGCATAGATTCACGAGTGGTATGAATGAAACAAAAAAGAAAAGAAAACAAGTTAAGCCTAAAAATGGAGGCGTACAAGCACTCATATTTATCGATTTTCGAGCTGCATTGCGAGCTGTATTGAAAGTTCAAAGCGTCTCAGTTCAGCACACCAAAAAACACAAAAAAAAAATAGTTTATATGCTGTCACAACACCAGTTTATTCACTGCTCCACACCGTTGCTGCTGGCTGGTATCTGCTGTCGTCACCACCCCTGGGTTCGTTTCGTCTCGTCGCGTCACGTCACGTCACGTCACGTCTCGCCTCGCCTAGCCTCGCCTCATCTCGTCACACCTGCTGCATATGCTTCACCAACTGTACATTAGGGTACTGGTTTATAGAACAAAACAAACAATATTTCAAACAATTTTTTACTTCATTTTTTTCCTTAAACTAAAACTAAAAATACATAATTTAGTATGCGCATTTGTCTCTTTATATATTTAAGCCACCATGTCCTAAATAGTACATACTACAGTACCTACATACATATTTACTGTTACTCTAATACATACTACTTATTACAATTCCTTAATGATATTTTTTTTAAATAACTTTTTCCCCTTTTTTATGCTTTTATTTACTTTGATTTGCTTTTTATGCGCGTCTAAAATAATCAAAAATTATTGTTATATAATCTACAGATATTTTTGCAAAGAAAAATAATTTGAAATAATATGTAATAAGATGCATTGTGTACAAATTAAAAAATTTCAACTGTTTCGGCTGTCAAAAAATTTTAACTAATTTATAAATTTTAAAACTAATTTATAAAATTATATTAGATAACATAAAAATTATTTAAACCAAATTTTGTGTAAAAATATCTATTTTGTTGTATTATATGCAAATAAAATTAACTTAAAACATTTTAATTCGCCTAACAATCACAATTTTGAATTTTAGTAAATTTTCTTTTGTTCTATTTTGATTTCATAACAATAAAATTCATGTCAATTCATCAAAATAAACAGGGTGCTCTGTATGAAATGAATATAATTGCCGGATTAATTGTAGAAATTTAAAAAATATAAAATAATAAACGAGTAAATTTTTAACTTTTTTTTTTAATATTGGTAATGATGATATGCAGAAGTAACTGTTTAATTTTTTTATTTTATTTTTTTGTAATTATTGGCTTAAGGTAAATATTTTATTACTAACATAAAATAAAATAACTTTGAATTATTTTTTTTTTTAATATTGATAATAATTATTCTTGATTGAAATTATTGGCTTAGCTAAACATAATTTTTTTGTGATTATTTTTTTAATACTAACTTAAAATAAACTAACTTTCAATTAATTTTTTTTTTATATTGATAATAATTGTTTGAAATTATTGTCTTAGCTAAACATAATTTTTTTTTGTAATTAATTTTTTTTAATACTAATTTAAAATAAAATATATTTAAATTTAATTTGTTGTATATTAATAATAAAAAAAATTGTTTGTGCATTTCAACATAATTTGTAACAAACATGCATGATTTCTATAATTTCTATAAACAGTGTCTTTTTATAAATTTTAAAACTCGGCATAGCTTCATTAATGTCATAATGCAGAGCATTCTTTCAACTTTGGCTCTAGCCGAAGCCAACACTACATTCAACCGGTTAAACGCGCTCGTTATTTATTCTTCTAAATTCTAACCAAAATTTTCCAGCAATTAAATATTACGATTCGTTTGACGTCATATTATCCAACAACAACAACTTTAATATCCTCTGCTACAACTTCCTAACCGTCCAATAAACGTGATTCAGCCATGAGTGTATATTTCGGTAATGTACAGATTCTGCGTTAATCTTTCTAAAACCAAAAAAAAAAAATATTCGTATTCATAATTTCATTAACATTAAAATTTTCCATTTCATTATTGCTTGCTTTTTTTTTTTTTACTTTTTGTGGTTTATAACCATTTGTTGTGTATATTTTTTTCCCTATATAATTTGCTTATTTTTTTTTACACTTTTTCGTTAAAATTAACATACCATTTTGTTAGGCACAAAACAAAAAAAATCAAGTTTTCTTCTTTTCAAACAGTGGCTTCTACAATAGCTAGTTGGCAGTGGCAATAGTGCGAGGTCATCAACGTTGGTCGTCCTCCCATTCACTCAGTATCAAATTGGGCTCTTCTCTTTTATATTCCTATTTTACAGGTTCTAAGCGCGCTCCAAACGTTTTCGTACGTGAACCAAGCCATTGCAACTATAAAGCAAACTTTCCAATGCAACTGTTTTTATTACCCCCCACACTTACCATAATTCTTATAATCGTACTTTATATAATACATAGTTTTGCCAATATATATCTACATACATATAAACATATATATATAATATATAAATATCTAATTACTTACACATGAACATGAACATAAACACAACAAACATAGCTTAAGTAAAATCACATAGAGAATAGTTATGCATAAGTTAAGCGGTGCGGTTATTTTTTAATTTTTTTTTTTCATTTAATTCAATCAAACTAGTTTTAAGTACTGAAAAAAAAACATAATAAACATTTGTAATTTTGTTAATTTAGTTTTAACTAAAATTGTCGATCATGCTGGACATGAGATTTGATTTTAAAGTGGTTGGAGATTATTTTGAGTTGTGTTATTTTGGCGAAGGGGGAGAGACAGAGCTGGAATGAGTGCCATGAGATAACTATATATATCTATAAATATCTATATCTATAAGTAGTATGTAAGTATGTGTGTGTGTCTTTATTAAGTATGAGAATGTAATTTTGATAGAATTAAATTTTTGTTCATATTGAGCTGTAGAAGGAAGCAATAATTTCGTCAAAGCTTCGGTACTTCACTTTACATGAAACTGTTGGATGTTGCTTTTCGATATTTGTATCTTCAAAATAAAAGTGTATTTATTTTTTTAATTTAAATTATAAAAACAATAGATTTGTTGCCATAAGAATGTCTCATATCGAAAGTTGCATATACTAACCAAGCTTTCATGAGCTTTCATTAAATTATGTTGATAAAGTTTCTTGAAGTTTTTTTTTAAATATTTTATATTGAAAATTGCATATAAGCCTGCCTGAGCTTTCAGGAACTTTCATTAAAGTATGTTGACATAGTATTTTTGTTGTTTTTTAAAAAATATTTTATGTTGAAAATTGCATATAAGCCTGCCTGAGCTTTCAGGAGCTTTCATAAAGCTTTCACATACATTGTTATAATATTTTTAATAATAAAAAATCCTGCTATACGCATATTGAACGTTTAAAAAATCCAGCTCATTTCGCCAAGTAGAACCCAATGCCTTGTTTTAAGATGCCTTAAAATTGATCAAAAAAATCAAATTGCTTACTTTATCAAATCAGGCAGTTAAGAGCTTAGAGTGAAAAGTTGCTAAGCGCTCTTTGTAACAAGTATAAGTTGGAAAATATGAAAATATATCAGTGCGAAAGTGAAAAATTTAATGTTTTAACAAATTTTAAATGGAAAATTAGCAAATTAATGATAAAAAATATATATGTATATCAAAAGCAATACTTAAAAGAAAAATATCGGTTGGTACATATGAAAATTTATTATTGAGCAAATTTGATTTTGATCAACCCTGTAATATTTGAAGAAGTGAATTTAGGAACTTTTGCGCTTTAAGTCGACGGTAAAACATTTGTATACACTTTCACTACACATTCGAATCATAAAATCCTATTTAACACTTCCCCTTTTTAGTAGTCGTCGACATATATTTTTTTTAAATCATTTTTTTAATAAAATTCTGTTATCAATATGATTTAATCTACTCTAGTGTAGCTCTTTACCAACCGCTTTTGTACTCGTATTCACTATTTGTTGCTAAATGTGCTCATGTGTGTCGGTATGTGTTTGTTTGCAAACAAATTTAAAGCAGTGTATGAGTATGGCTGTGTGTGTGTGTGTGTACTTATGATGCATTCAAAGTAATTTCCACAGCTCATCAACCAAATGCAGCCAAAACTATATATAAACCGTTATAAGAAATATTTTTTATCAATTAATTTGAAAGAAATCGAAATATAACAAAATAACCAGAGATTTTCTCAAACAAACGCAAGCAATTTGGCTGATGAATATAGTTGCTACAAGCAAAATAGCATAATTGGAAACTTGATTTAACAAAATTAGTCATAAAAAAATTAGATTTGAACAAAACTTACTTATAAGTCGTAGCACATAAAATTTAGCCCTTAAGCACATATATAAGTTTTTGTTAAAAATTATATATACATCATATATACAGATATGTATACATAAATATATATATAATATATATAAATATACATAAATTTACAATCCAAAAAACAAAAAAGAGTAACTAAATATGTTTGTCCATTTTCAATGAAATACAATTTTTATTTATTTTATTATTCTTACATAACAAATGACATGCTGCCACTTCTTTTCCCCTCTTTGGGCGTTATTAACGGAATTTTATGTATATTTGTAGATGCCAGCACATTTATGGACACAACGAATGCTTTGACGCCCACCTTGGGTGGAACTACGGGCGCTGGTGGTGCCGCTGGCGCAGTGCTTTGGCCCGCCGGCACAGAGACCAAGCAGGAGATCGATTCCGGCATGATGCCACCACCAATTACCACACAAATGCCGATGGGTGTGCGACGCCCTTCATTACCCACAGCCACGCCCATGTTGACCGATCAGCAGTTGGTGCGCATGAACGTCGCTGACACGCTCAAGACTGAGTTGATCGATGAGACATCGCAAAGCTCGCTGTCTGAGGTAATTCAAGCGCCCGATGTCGTTATGGCCAATTGTGGCGCACCCATTAGTCCGACGGCTATGCAATTTCACACACATTACGATCACAAGAATAGCATGGATGCGATGATGTTCGATTCGAATAGCATGTCCGCGTTTCCAGTAGCTGCCGTAGCGCCGCCATCTGTAGCGGCCGCCGTTGAGTTGGCCGTGAAAACCAAAATTGCTAAAGCTGTGGCACAACAACAACAGGCTGTCGCTGTGGACAAATTCATTACGGATTTGACCAAATCGACAGTGGTGGCAGATGATGCCACTGTGGCGGCTGTTGTCGAGGAAACCCTATTCAGCGGCGTCGGTGGTGTTAATAGCGCCGTCAGTGCGGTTATCGAGCATCCGTTCGATGACATTATGCAGCAACATCAACCACCAGCCGTACTCGAACGCAGTTTATCCATATCGAGCAACTCCTCCTCGAATTCTAACAGTTCGAGCGGCTCTTCGCCACACAATGGTCTCACAGCCACACTCTCTGTCTCACCAAATAACTCGTTGAATGGCCACAACTCACCCATTACACAGGATATTATATTGAATTCGGAACCTGCGGCTGTACTAAACGCCATGCCGATGCAACAACTCTTGCCTACAGCTTTGGGTGGCAGCCCGACTGCGGCCGTGTCACCGAACGCGGTGGTCGAGGCGGCCGTGCAAAGCACGCCAAATGCCGCTACCGTGACCGATCCCACTGGCGGCATTTCCACGGAAATGATCATGAATCCCGCTGTCTCGCCGTCCACTATTCTGTGCTCAGCTAACGGTGCTGCCACGGCTGTGGTGCCAAATATTATGGCGCCACACCAAGTCACCATGGCCAATTCGATTTTGAATGATATCGCCATGCAACCGCAACCGACACAACAACATGCTGCTGTAGCGGCGCTTGCGCTCAGCAACATTATAATGAGTCCGACCAACGCACCGGGTGCGGTGGTGGATGATGTGGCAAGTGTCGAACAGACTGTTGATCAACCGGCCGATGTTACGGTGGCCACTTCGACTGCCGTCAGTAATTTGATTATTAAAGCCGCTGCCGATCTGATATCGAATCAGGAGAAACAGCAACAACAACAGCATATACAGCAACAACATCAGCAAATTCAGCAGCAACAACAACAGCATATACAGCAACAACATCAGCAAATACAGCAGCAGCAGCAGCAAATACAGCAACAACAACAGCAAATACAGCAACAGCAATTACAACAACAACACCATCATCATCACCAACAAGCGGCACAGCAGCAGCAGCAGCAACAACATCAGCCCACGCAAGCATTAATAAATGGTGCCGCAGCCGCCGCCGCTGCCGCTGCTTCCACTGCCAGCACCAGCCCTTTGGTGAACTTGCTTTTAAATCATCCAGACGCGCCGCCATCGGCCGCAGTGGCAGCAGCCGCGGTCAGCGAAGTTCAGTCGCAATTCTCATTGGCCATGTGAGTGTCTTTCATTTCGCCACCACTCTAAACCCACCTGAGCTACTTGTGATAATCTATAATGTTCCATTTCATTTGCAGCCCTCCCACAGCTCCGCAGGAATCTCTCATTGTCGCTTTGGCCACCGAAAACTCAATGCAAAAGTCCGTCGCCGCAGCTGCAGTGACCACAAACGGCGCTGTTGTTACGCAACAAACTACTGCTCCAGCTGCCGGCATTCTCCCTGGCACTGCCGTTGGGCCCGTGCCACTTCCGCAAGAATTGACCACCATGTCGGATCAAGATTTGCTTAGCTACATCAATCCAAGCACTTTTGATCAAAGTAAGTGAATTTTGTAAAACCCAGAACGAGCCGTTGTAGACACTATATAGTATATCTACATACTAATGTAAATGATAAGCGTGACAAGCTGAGTCGATATAGCTATGTTCGTTTGTCTATCAGTAAGTCTGTCCGTCCGTCTGTCTGTATATACACGAACTAGTCCCTCAGTTTTTAAGATATCGATCTGAAATTTACCATAAACTCTTTTTTCGCCAAGAAGCTGTTCATTTTTCAGAACCTAAACGATCAAAATCAATTTACTTTACTTCACAAAATTTTACATGAATTATTTTTAAAATCAATGGTACAATCTCCAAACGTATTGTTCAGATCGGACTACTATACCATATAGCTGTCATACAAACTGACCGATCAAAATGAACATATTTTTTACCCTATATATAAAATGCGCATGAAAGGTATTATAGCTTCGTTGCAACTGAAGTTGATGCTTTTTGTTGTTTAATTTTTTTTCGAAAATTTCTCGAGTGGTGAATTTCGCAAAAATTATAAAAATAAAAATCTAATAAATCTCTCTTATTATATTGTACTTGCAGTCTAAAAACGTGGCGTTACTTGATTTCTACAAGTGAATAACGAGTGGGGTATTTCTTTTGTATACCGCTGATTGCGTTCAGAGGCGTTGATTGGAGGCGGAGAATGGTTCATGGCCAAAGCGCCAGCCTAAAAGTTGCCCGACAGCATTGACATTTTGCTAATTAATTGTGACACACAAAAAATGTGGTGTCGAGTGTAGCTGGACGATGCTATGAGGCAGCTGCTGAAACAAAAACGAACCACAACATTTAACAATAAATTAACTAGATATGAAATCATGCAGATAAATAATTTATACAACATGCATACATACAAGCACATACACATAAATAACTGTTGTCTTAATGTTAACTGGCAGTGAAACTGTGAAAAGCTTAAATTGAAACTTTTCGTCGTGTTTAAATGTTGAATGGCGCAAAAAAATTGTTTTTATGTCCAAATACTTGCATTACTAGCTGAAAATTATAGATTTTCCTTAATTTAATTGCGATTGTAACTATTATATTTTAATGTATGCCCTAAAATTACATTGAACTCAAGAAATAATGTGGAATTTTATGAAAAAAAAAATTGAGACACATGCGTATCTACTTGTATAATTGTGTCGTTACCGAATTTTTTTCTTTAAAATTTACATATTTTATTTGGGAATTGCGACCAAAACAAGTCTCTGGTGCTTTAAGCACAAAACTACAAATGAAAATTTTTTTTTTTTTAATTAAGTCAAATTATCTGACCATAATTACTTATTACTGCCATAGGTCAAGTGAAGAATTGAGCTAACCCTTATTGTTATTATTATTGTTAAACTTAAAGTAACAAACATGATGAATTGAATTGTACTACTCTCGTCGGTATTGCAACAAAAAATATACACGAGACTACAACTATACATATAAATTTATACTATATAGTTTTTAATGTCAAGCTTTGAAATATAGTATGTAATACGTATTTTTGTATAAGTCTATACTATGTATCTGATTAATACATTTACTACAATAATTATATACACAAACATATACAATACAAAAAAAAACATAACAGAAATAATATTTATATAAATAACAATTAAATATGTCTTACAAATATACACAATAATTTGCAAGCAAACGAATTTGCATTACAAATATGGTCAATAAGCTACAGTTAAGTTGAAAAGTGAACGCTAAATTATTGAATTGCACTAAATTTTTGTTTAAAAATTTTGCAGTTGAGTGTGTTGACATTTTTAGATATATATATATATATTTATATTTACATTTCAATTGGGCTCGAAGTAAAATTATATAGCATACATGTTTACTATATATAAATAACTGTCTTGTAGAATAACTAATTTTTATGCTGTTTGGCTCATGTATGCACTTAGATTATTGAATGGATTAATTGTATACAGTGACCTGCGTTTTATGTGCACTTAAAATAAAATATATAAAAAATATAAAGTTAAATTTAAAAAATATAAAACTTACTAAACAAAAAAAAACAAAAACGTTCACTAAAGCAACACAAATTGGTGCAAAATTTTTAAAAATAAAAACAAAAAAATATATATTTATACAAAGTTGAGAGAATATTGCAAAAAGACTTTTTGATAGTTCGTTATTATAATTATTTTTTAATTAAAATTATTTTTGCGTTACACTGATAGCTTAGGCATTACATATAAGATTACATTTAAATTATAAGTGGAGTTTTTAATGTGCGTTGTTGAGTGATTAAAGCGTTTCGCAAAGGCAGATTTCAGTATAATATGGAAAACACTCATTGAGATTTTTGAAATTGTATTTTGAGCTGTTTCTCAAATATTGGAATCTTTGTTTTTTGTAAATTTGGCGTGAATTTGAAGAGATAGTTACTCATACATTTACACTTTTATTGTAGTCGTGATTGTGCGTATAACAACAATTTAGTGTATTTGAAAAGAAAAAATAAAGTAAAAATTAATAATAATTTTTGTTATTTTCCTATTTCTTTAAGCTTTTGCATATGGCAATTACTATTATTTGTTGCTTTAAATAAAGAAAAAGTCATTAAATTCAACTAGTATGGAAATGCAAATTGTGAGTAGTTGTAAATGTGGATATTAATTGTGATACAGTGCTGAATATGTGTATGTACACTCATACTTGTCTAAATTAAAATTTGAAGTCAAAAATGTGTAAAGTTTATAATAAACTTTAATGTTAAATAAATAATTTGTAATAAATGTTAATAAATTTAAACAACTTTAATTTAGCATAACTTAAAACAAACTTGCGATTAAACATATGTATATTTACTTGAAAAATACTTTGCCACACATGTTTCAAGCAACATTTAATACATTACTTATATTTTAATTGCATTTATTTATTTAAAATTTTTTTTACATTAATTTTTAATTTTTTTTATTAGTTTTTTTATTAATTTTTTTTATTTAATTTATTTTATATTTTTTTACAAGAAATCATCACTAAATTTAGTTTACAAGTAATAATAAATACATAATGTAATTGTTCTACCAACAGAATGCTTCCCTTTTTTGTTTACAAAAACAAAAAATTTAAACATAGCCTTATAACCTGTACATGTACATCTATTTATTTAAGTATGCATTAATTTAAGAAAAAATTAAATACAAAGAAGAATAAACAACGCTGACTTATAATAAATATTTGCAAGTTATATTAATGTACTCGTATTAGGGTGTCCGTTATATCCCAGTACAGTTTTTTCTTTTGCAAGCGCGCCCCGAAGTTTCAGTTTTTAACCTAAAAAAGGAGCCAACGTAAACAAGCTCTTTATTTTTCAATTTAAATCGTGCCTAAATCATTTTACTTTTTCTATTTATTTTATATCGTATTTTTTGGTCGGTTTGGGTATTCTAATTCCAAAACTTCCGTTCTACAAAAAAGTCTTAATAATTTTTTTCATCAAAACATTCCTTCAAAAATCATACGCAGTTGAAGTTATGCATCACATATACTGTATTCGTATTGTACACCATGGCGTATGAGTAACACAGAATGCACAAAACACTTGTATGAATGTTCAGGTCATGTAAGTTGTAGATTTACTGGCTTAATGCAAAATATCCCATGTTGTATACAAAGGGTGATTTAGACACGGTTCAAACTGAAAATAAAGCACTTGTTAACGTTTTATCCTTATTTTTAGGGCAAAAACTGCAACTTCGGAGGACGTTTGCAAAAAAACAATAAACTTACAAAACAACGGACATCCTAATATACATATACATGCATACATATTATTTGTTTATTGTGAAGCTGGAAGTTTACTACGTTCTACATACACATATTTGCAATCTATACAGAGATTGTACATATTCTATGGCTTAAGCTATCTGACTTTAGCTCTTTGTTTTAAAGTCGTCGTTTTAACGTATACATACATACACACACATACAAACGAGTACATTTCACAATTGCAATGTATACAGCGAATGTTTTAATAAAAATAAATAAATAAAGTTCAAATATACACAAATAAATTAAAAATAAACTTAATATAAAAACACACATACACCTGTACATCCTTGACTTTGAAAGCATATAATATTTTCTGGTGTTTTAAACCACTATATGATCAAGTATCAACGCCTATTTGCAACTTGCGGATAAAAAGATAAAATTTTTATCAACTTATTTTAATAATAAGGGCAACTGAAGCGCCACACAGACCGTACAGGACATTAAGCGATGGCTAGTAGTGTTTTTGTATTTCTTTACACATATTATACACTGAGATAAGTTGTAAGTTGTGTTAAGGAGATATTTGTATAATTGTTTATTGTATACATAAATTGATGGTTTCAGATAAATAAATAAGTGATGAAAATATATTTTATGTTTTTTAATGTTCTTTCTTTTGGTGGAGCCTAGAATTTTTGAAATAAATACAGCGATTGTAATCCATTTCGATGAAAACAGAAAGTTATTGTATATAGCGAATTATAGAACTACCAATATCTTTCAAATATATTTTGTAATTAATTTTATAAAAATAATGGAATGTTTGTGGTGAAATGTTACCCAAATCGCTACCAATCCCATTTATATTTGGATCTTTTCTCCAATTGCATGAAATAGAGGGTGGCTTTGGCATTTATTCCTGCAGCTTCATCAATTTAAAATTATTAATTTTTTTTAAGTATATAAGTGTAAGTGTATTTAATACTTTCAAAATTAAAATTCTTAAAAGGTTGTCTAATATTGATAAAATATGCATATTCAAGTCGTAAATCGATGATTATTTGCTAACATTCGTTTCACATCACTAAGGAAATTGTCAATAATAAATGTCAAGTGAGTGAAGCAGAAAAGAAAAACAAAAGGCCGAAGTAGATACAGAAGTTAATTCATTAAAATTGCTGTAAAATATAAAATTGCGTACTTAGATTATGAGTGTAAAGTTTTAGCACTATATTTAAGAAATATAAAAGCTGCGTTTAAGAGAAATTATGGATTTTTTGTTTGCACCTCTACCTGAAACAAATTGTAAATATCGATATATAGTAGGCAAGGCGACTCAATAATCTTCATATGTGTATATTTATTTACAGTTCAAATGAATACGGAAGAATTACGTTTATGGCAACGAAATGCCATATTCGAGTGTGAATGTGATAATTTCATTAATAGACGTATAGAAGCTGGTCGAACACACCTCCTGACACTGCCAAATCGGGCACACTCTGAGTTACCTGGAATTGATGCTGCGATACGGCAACATGGACTGCGGCTACCGGATGTAATGGGAAATAATGGTCACAGACCTATCTCCAGCGCCAGCAATAGTAATAGCATTGAGAACATTGAAAATGACAGTCATACAGATAGTAATGCTAATATATCGCCACCTCTTCCTCAAAGACGACGATTAGCGTCTAGAAACGTGGAATATGATCGTGATAATATGCTTGACAGAATATACCAAGAAGCTCTGTTGACAGCTTTTCGAACGAGAGGGTTAAGTGCAATTCGTAATCCTTAATGCTAATGGAAATGTTCGCTATTTGGGTGGGCGAAGGAGGCAAAACTACCGACTTCAATGAATAATAATGAAAAATTGTATGTATCTTAAATATTTATGAAATTTTAAATAAGAGATCTTAATTGAAACGAAATTCCTTGGAATTGTATCTATGTAGCTCTAAAATTGTAGAACTTTACGGTAATTTTTAATTAAACAAAATATTAACAAATGAAGAATTAGTTGTGTAAAATTGATTTTTACCAATTTCTTTTTTTAACAACAAATACATGTACCGAAAACCTTATAATATGAATATTTTAGGTAAATTAAATGCTTTGCAAATTCAAAGCTCGATACGTAATTGTGAATGAGTGCAGTTGTACCAGAGAACGTATATCATATACGATATACGCTCTCTGACGAGAATGAGAGCAGAGGGCATAAATGGAAAAAGATTTATCAGCTGTTTAAATAGCGGTTATTTCATGCCATTGACAATTTTGTTTTTGCTCCATGTGCCTATTTGAATGATATTTTCGTAGGCCAATAGTTTGTGTTTAATATTATTAAACGATAATTATCATACTTTATTTAACAAGGAAACAAAATGTCTTCAATAGAAAGTGAAACTGCTGCGCTCAGTGAAATGGTTTGTGTTAAACATTGAATTAAATAAAAATTCTTTACGTGGACACTAAAATTTTTCACCTACTTATGTAGGAGCGTCTAACAGCTCATTTGCGCACAGAAATAGAAAAAACAAAACGTGGCGAGGGGCTTGAATTTGAAGAAGATGAAGAGTACGTAAAGTTGCAAACCGAGAACACAAAACTCAAGCACCGTTTAGCGATTTTGAACAAGGTTATATTTCATCATATAATAATAGTATGTCATCACTAAATTTTATTGCTTAATGATTCAGGCTATAGCAGCAGAAACAAATACCATAGGTGCGGCTGCTGAAGTGACTACAAAATATCAACCTGCCGAGCTACCAGTTGCGGTAAACGAAATGATTTCAATAACCGAACATCTTGTGGATTTATTTACAAATGCTATCGCTTTGGCATTCCCAGAGCTTGCTGGTACCCAAGCAATCATATCACTGGTGAATACCAACGCTGCTAAATTTGGTGATTATCAATGCAACAGTGCAATGTCACTCGCAAAGACTTTAAAAGCTACTGGCGTAAATAAATCGCCTAGGGATATAGCTAATGAAATAGTTAAACATGTTGTACAATCGCCACTCGTAGCAAAAACCGAGGTCGCAGGTGCAGGTTTCATCAACGTATTCCTCCAAAAGTATTCGATACATTACATTGTAACGATCAAAAGTTTTTAAATTTGTACTTTTCAGAGATTATGCTGCGCATGCTATTGATACACTTTTACGTAAAGGCGTTAATCCACCGGCTAGCCGAAAGCAACGCGTACTTGTTGACTTCTCTTCACCCAATATAGCAAAACAGATGCACGTTGGCCATTTGCGTTCAACAATTATTGGTGAGTCCATATGTCGTTTGCTTGAGTTTCTGGGACACGATGTTTTGCGCGTCAATCATCTGGGTGATTGGGGTACTCAATTTGGTATGCTTATTGCGCACTTGGAAGATCGTTTTCCCAATTTCCTAAACGAAAGTCCACCTATTGGTGACTTACAAGCATTCTACAAGGAATCGAAAAAGAGGTGAGTTAAATAAAGCAATAATGACAAACAAACTTTTATAATTTTAATTATTAAACAAAGTATTTTTAATTTATCAATTTGTTTCCCATGAAAAGTTGGCGAACAATTTACACTCTTTTTAAATTTTCTACCAAATACTTTTTTAATTTAACATTTTTCAGGTTTGACGAAGATGAAGCATTCAAGAAGCGTGCATACAATTGTGTCGTACTTTTACAAGGCGGTGACGCAAATTCAACAAAAGCCTGGAATCAAATTTGCGATGTTTCACGTCAAGAATTCCAAAAAATCTATGATCGCCTGGATGTAACACTCAAACCAATCGGCGAGTCTTTCTATCAGTCACGTATGATAGAAGTTGTCAAGTATTTGGAATCGAAAAATCTACTCGAGGAAGACGACGGTCGCAAGATCATGTGGGCCGACGAAAGCTCATCGGGCATACCCTTAACGATTGTCAAGTCTGACGGCGGTTTCACTTATGACACATCGGACATGGCTGCAATCCGTTATCGTTTAGAAGAACAAAAAGCTGAATGGCTGATATATGTTGTAGACTCTGGTCAGAGCACACATTTGCAAAATATTTATCGTGCCGCTGAACGCGCGGGCATATTCAATCCGAAAATTCACCGTGCTGACCATGTGAACTTTGGCGTAGTGCTAGGAGAGGATGGTAAAAAATTCAAAACCCGTTCCGGTGAGACAGTTAAACTGTCTGATCTGTTGGATGAAGGTTTGAAACGTGCGCTAGATAAATTATTGGAAAAAGAGCGTGATAAGGTGCTTACACCAGAAGAGCTGAAAGCAGCACAAGAATCTGTGGCCTATGGTTGTATCAAATATGCCGATTTAAGTCACAATCGCACAAACGAATATGTATTCTCCTTCGACAAGATGTTGGAGGATCGTGGCAACACGGCCGTATATCTGCTCTATGCATTTACTCGTATATGCTCAATTTCACGTAATTGTGGCGAAGACTTCTCCGACCTATCTAAAATACTGGATAGTGGCATAGCTATTGATTTGGCACATGAAAAGGAATGGAAATTGGCAAAAACACTATTGAAGTTCCCCGATGTATTGGTTAAGATTTCAAAGGATCTGCTATTGCACACGCTTTGTGAGTTTTGTTATGAAATTTGTACTGTGTTCTCCGAATTCTACGACAATTGCTATTGTATTGAAAAAAATAAGAGTGGCGAAATTATCAAGGTCAATCGAGGCCGAATTTTGCTGTGTGAAGCTACCGCTGCGGTGCTAAAGCAGTGCTTCTATATTTTGGGCTTAAAGCCAGTTTCTAAGATATAAAATATTAAGTATCCCTTTTTTACAGAGCAAAGCTTTTGATAAAATCGAGAAAAATAAAAATAATAATAAAACTTAAAAAATTGATTTTGTTTCAATCTTTTAAACAATTTAAATAATTTTATAATGATTTTCAAACAAATTAATATGAGAAACTTTTGAAAAGCATCTAACTAACCTCGGAAAAATTTTTAACTTAAACTAAATCTCTTAATTTATAGCACGCTATATATTATTTTCTACTTTTTAATATTTTCTTATCATACTTAAATTATTTTTTATACATTTTACACTTATTTCGAGTTTTTGTGAAACTTTTCGACAGTTGGCGACCCGGTGTCGCTTTCCTTCAGTTGTCGAAGCTGACATTGTTGTGACTGTATCAGCTGTTTATATTGTGTTTATTTTTTCACTTGTAAAAATTTGCATCAATTTACACTACAATGGACAAAGAAATTCCTTTCGAGGAACTTGTGGATCGTGCCAACGAAAAAATAGAACTTGGTTATGAGTTGATCTCACAATTAGAAGAATATAGACAAATAAATGGTGTAGATAAAATTCAACGAAAAATCAGTCAAGAAGTGAAGTTTTTGCAGAAGGTAAACCATATGGAACATATATTGTTTGCAGTAAATAATCGTAACTGAATGCTTTAAGAAATTATAACATACATGCATAGCTATTTATTGAGCTCTCGATATTTCGCAATCTCTGAAACACTTGCAGGTTATTAAAAACGAAAAGCTAAAGTTAAATCACGTTCAATGCAGCAACCTTACGCATTACGCCTTCCTTGTGCAAATATTGAAATTACAGCGGGATGTAGTACATCTCGACTGTGGCTTTCCAGTGGAAGGACGCAGTAATCCACTGCGTGTAGATATTGTCTGTGAGAATGGGTTGAAGTGGATAAAAGGTGTGTCACTCTTACGAATGTATTTGAGTTGTTTTAAAAATACTAATTATCAAATTCGTACAGCCATTGCACGTAATTCCAAATCTTTGGCTGATGCGGCAAAAGGTGCGGCCAGTTATGGAGCGCGTAGCATATTGGATCAAGCGGAAGAGTTTGTAGAAGCCAGCGCGCAACATTTATGCATGTTCAAGCCGCCAAAGGTACGTGTGCATACTTATTTTATATATTTTTTATATGCGTAATAATAAACATATTTCTCAGGTGGTTTTCTATTTTAGTCAAACCATTGATAACACGCTGCTTGTAGAACTGCAAGAAATCGGTGTTGAAATTGCTTCTATTGCGGAACCCTCCGAAAGTGATGACGGCGCAGATATTTCGAATGTCACCACATTAAATATAGACATTACCACATTATTGGCATATATAAGCAACGTGTGCAATGGCAGCTGCAATTGGTTGTTCCGTGAGGGCATACTTACCGAGCAGGCGGAAAAGGAGCGACAGACACCATTAAAACCTGTCTTAGATAATCTAATTAAAGGTGAAGTGAAAGATACATTAATATGAATTTTAGCTCATTTTTACTTCATTGTAAGGCAAACGTCTCATATGTTGCGAAACAGCATACAAATCGTTTGAAGAGATTATCTCTTTATTGGCGGGCCCTCAAGAACACAAGCGTGCGGCGGAATTAATGCAAATTGTGGAAGTTTTGCCCGATGTGACTACGGTGCCAGATGAATTAGCTGTGATTAAATTTAGCGGTAAAATAAACCAGAGAAGCTTGAAAATTTTCGCCTTCGGCATGCAAATGAAAGCGGTGACTGTGACCTCAAATAAAGCATTCGTACGTTCTGCGAAAATGCAGGTGGGTTTTACAAAAAATGTAAATATTTTTGTGTTATCTCTTGATGTAAAAAAATTGCTGATGTATTTCAGGGCATCAATGTGCCAGTGTTTACACACCAGGCCAGAGCATTAACGGAAGCTAAGGAGTCATCTGCCACACCCATACAATGATTATCAATTTCGGTAATATGACTTGGCTGGTGATTAACATCCGATTATAGTTAACGAAAACTCAAAAACCATTTCATTGCATATTTCTAAATCATTTTTATTGTGTAAATTTAGCTATTTTCCTATTGTTAAACCAATGTGAAGAAAATTTGTAAAAAGTAAATTTAAATATGTTATGTAGATGTAAGCATACATATAATGCACAGCCAAATTGTGCAACAAAAGTGTTCCAAAGCGCATATGCTTGCTGCAGACGAAACCACTGCCACACTGCTTAATTCTCTTCGTTCTCGTAAAAACTTTGCAAAAGTGCGAAATAGCTCATCGATGAGCTGATTAACTGAAACGATAAATGATATGTAGTTATATAGATGTATAATTCATTTAAGTATATTGTTCATAAAGTATTATGTCTTATGTACATACGCCGGAGAAGCTGTTCAGCGACAATATTGAGAACTTCATCGCCGTTATGCATGTCTGTCTTTGACTGCGCATAATCATGAATTGCAGTTTTTTGCGAAAAGCGACACTCGTGGAATAATATACTATTGGCGCCGAGTGCGTCGTTTTTTCATCTTCGTCGGGATGCATGTTATTTACGGCATTGGTATTTGCATTAGTGGCAGCTACTTTGACGCCACACTCCCAGTTGCAGGCATACAAGTGGTTGGCCATCTCGAGGGACTGCAGTGTTTCGAATAAAAACTAATATTATTATAATTGTTATAAACATATATTTATGTAAAATTATCAACATGAATAAACCGTAAATTTGATTAAAATGTTTTATTTTTGTGTTAATTCACTAAATACGTTTTTCTTTCTGCATTTATTCTTCGCTCAAGTAACATGTTTACAATTTGATGTTGCCCGCAATATAAATGTTGCGCGACAATGTTGCCAGCAACAGATGTTGCAGTAACTGTGCGCCTGGTGGAATTTATGAAATTGCAATTTGCGTTAGTTATAAGTGCTTCAGGTTTAGGGGTGGGCACTTATTAAAATTTTTTTTTTTAGTTTTATTTCTTTAACCGAGTTATTTTTATTTAGTTTAAAAAATATGGTTTTGATTCAATCTATTGATATGTTTTATCAGATTTTAAAAATTTTGTAAAAAAATATTAAAAAGTTTTATAAAATATTATACGAAATATTAAAATAATATTAACTTCATTTTATATGAAAAGTAATATTTTAATATTTGTCATAAAAATAATTCTTTAAAAAACTTCTTGTATTTCAAAATGTTAATAAAAAAATTGTATTGTAAATTTGTTGTAAAAAATATTTTTTTTTAAGAAAATAAAGTAATTTTTAAATGAGGTTGCCATGTAAATTACTAAATAATGTCAAAATTTGTTTTTTTGCAAATTAAAGTAATTTTTTAAAGAGAAAGTAAAAATAAGAAAGATAAGAACAATTTAAAGATTTGAAGATTTAAGGGCTAAGTTACCATATGTTACAAAAATAAAGTTTCAATTCAAAAATTACTACTTCTTTAAAAATTTAAATATTCACAAATGAAAGATATTTAAGTATTTTTATTACATATGTAAATATTATTGCCACTCTCATTAAAACCAAAAATAAAATTTCAAATAAAAATTACCAACTATTTGAATATTTGGAAGGTACATAAGCAAATGTTATTTAAAATATACTATTTATAGAGTTGCCATCTGGAAAAAATATATAAAAATAGTTAATTTCAGAAAGATATGTTTAAAAATACTTTACTCTATACAAATTTTAAAAACTTTAGAGGACTTGAGATTATGCAAAGCTTTGAATGAGGTTGCCATCCTTATTAAAACGAAATATGTGCAATGAAAACAAAATTTCAATTAAAAAACCGCTAGTTAATTAAAATTTGAAATAATTTCAATACAGATATCAAATAAAAGGTATTTAAGCAACTTTTAATATTAAAATACTTTCTGGTGGGGTTGCCATTTGCTAAAAATGTATAAAAATATTTTTTTTTTGTAAAAACAGTACTGCACAAGCACTTTAACTACTTTTTTAGGGTTGAATTTCTGTAAAAAAATTAAAAGGGTTGCCAACCTTACTATTTATAATCATCAACTAAAAATCATTAATTCTGAAATTTGTTTAATATATTTGTGTGAAATGCAAACATTTATATTTATGCATTCAATACAAACGTTTTGAATTATCTGGTCACCATTCCAGCAAAGCAGAAATAATTGTGAGAGCGATGAGAGAATGTAAACCAAAAATTTTACATAATCACCAATGAACATGTTATTACCCTGGAAAAGGATTAAAGAATGTTTGTATATAGATATGTATTTTAACTCTCGGATTTTAATTAAAATATAAATAAATATTAAGAATATATAATATAAATTGTTAGAAGAGAGGCAAAAGAAAATATAGGATACACTTTTTAGAAGTAATTTTAGTAAGAAAATCTTAAAAAATTATGTATAAATTTTTATATTATTAAAATACAATATTTAGTTATTTACTATTAGATCATTATTATTACTATTTAACGGTTTTTAATTCCAAATGTAAATAAATATTAAGAATATATAAATTTAATAGATCAAATGCAAAGGAAAATCTAAGAAACGCTTTCGAGGAGCAATTTGCATTTAAATATTAAAAAAAAATGTAAAAAAATATATATATTTAAATTTACCTAATTTTTGAAAATTTTTTTTTGTTTTAGAAATATATAACTAAATATTTAACTTTAAGAATTTATTTGGCCTAATCATTACTGTACTTACCGCCACCAATTGAAAGCCCACCATGCAAATTAGAACCGATGAAATCATGAAATTCACCAACAAAATGGGACTGAAGAATTCTTCCATGCGACTGACGAAACTGAAAATGGTATACAAGTAAAATCCAACTTTTATTCCACCTTTTCCCTTTTTCTTTTTCGTTAGCTCACTTAAATAATACACAATGCTTGCTAGCAATTCCATCCAGACGACGAATGCATTCCCGTTGATAAACCGCCTCTGTGCCATGTCCAGCTCGAGTCGCTGCATACGAATCGGGTATAATATTATCCATTTGCGTGTGTAGAATGCGAAACTGGCCACAAGTGTAGGAGACAAAGAAGCCAAATAGCGAATCCTCAGCGAAGAGTGTGGTCACCACACAAACACCGGCCCAAGCGGTGAATAAATAGGTGAGCGCATAACGCCAGCCGTGATTTGCGTTGTAAGGAAATAACATTTTATAAGGGAATGGCTTCGGCGCGCTCTCTAAGGCATTGGGTTCTGTATTCACCGTTAACATATAAAGTTCCACCAAGGGCAGAATGCAGTACATGGTAATGAGGCTGGCCTCGAGAACCGAGATTACTTGAAAGACACGCATATTGCGGGCACAAGCGCGCTCAACTGTGGGATGTGAAGAGCTGTGGTGGAAAAGTACAATCAAAATATACATTTTTTACAGTTAACTCCTTGTTATGATTTTTCACTCTTCACATATGTACCTCGTAATCCAGATATCCTTCACGAACTGTGCTAACAATTGTTGGAATTCCCGTTGATGCAGTCTCAAATGCAGCAAGCGCACAAAGTTCAACACACCCATAAATGTGGTGCAGCCGTTCTCCGTGGTGACCGTTATATTGCCGAAAGATTTTAGCAGGAATGCGCTCTGAAAACCTATGGTTATGCCTACCATGGCCACCACATACCAGGCCCAGGTGCTGTAGAGCAAACGAAAGTATTTCTCAAACTCACCAGTCACATTGAGTTTTAGTGGCCACGATCCGTTCAGTTTTAGCCAAATACATTGTAAGGGAAATCTGAAGTTTATTGGATCCTTCAACGGCTTCGGATTGAATAACATCTTGAAGACTGTTAATTTTTTTAGAGAGTAGTAGTATAGGGATATGACGGCTAACAGGCAAATAAACACTATAAACTGACAATCAGTTAGCATTTCCTGGTATTTATAACGATGGGACGGCTACCTTTTCCCCAATTAAATCGATGTGGGCGTGTAAAGGACTTAACATTTCTCTTTTAACTGTCATTCACGTGAGACGGCTGCACAAACGGCATTTTTAATTAGTTGATTTTGTGTGGCCATTCATTTGGGTGATGTGCAATTTGAATGTTAGCTGAATTTTAAGATTGTCAATAATTTTGTTCAGTACCCACAGTGAATAAATGATGCTTAACCCATTATGGGCGTGGAAAATTTAATAATTTAAGTCCTTTTTTAATTTCATTTAATGGCCATAAAAAATATGAACAGAATGACAAATGATTCCAAATATTAAAAAAAAATCGTATTAAAGAGTTGCCACCTAATTATTTACTATATGTACACATATGAAATAACGAAAAAATTTAATACAATATCAAATAGAAAATGTTTCAGAATGCTTAAAGTTAAAAAAAAATTTAAGAACGTTGCCACCTATTTAAAAAATCCACACAATAAAATGTTTAAATTAATTAATAAAACATTATAAAAGGAAAAGATTTAAGAAAGCTTAGAGTTGTAAATATTTTTCATGAAGGTTGCCACATATTTTAAAAATCAAAAAATTAAGGTGAATAAAAAATATATGTTTAAAATTAAAAGGTTTTGAAAGTTTAGAATTAAAAATATTTTAAGTAGACCCGCCGCCTATAGCTATATATATTTTTTATATTGGTATAATAATATTTTAGAGAAGTTGCCACATGTTTTAATTTTATCACATTATATCCACAGAAATTTTTTTTTTTTCCTTAATCATTTATAAGTTAAAGGTGTCGTTAATATATTTATATATTGTTTTGAACTGTCTGATTTTTTTTAAATTCTTTAAAAAAATTATATTTATTATATATAATCCAATATATGTACATACGTTTGTATGTAGACTGAATTTAAGTAGATTTGGCAGCTTCCATACGCTATTAAACTTCCTGTTTTTTACGTCAAACCCACAAACTCATATTACGAAATGAAAGCTCGAAAGCTGTTGCAAATCTGAGAAACACGAGACGAGAGTCATCGCTTAGCCATCGTAATCGCCAGATTAGATTCAGTTCACTGTGCCTTTTTTTTGCGTCGTAAACAAACAGTTGTCAAACACTCACTAATTGACATAAGGATATCAAACATCACACGAACATAAAAAAGGTTGTAGCAATCTAGCAGTTCGGGTCAAATTTGATCTTGAGGTATGCATCATATTTGAAGCTTAAAAATTTCAAATAAAACAAAATTTGCATTTATTTATTTTTGTATTTAAGTTTAATTTATTCTATGCTTATGATCACGTTTATTGTTTCTTCATTTAATTTAATCGCATTGATTAAATTAAGTGACATTTACATCTTGCTTTGCGTATGTTTACACATTTTACTCGCGTTTGTTTGTGTTCTTCTCTTTTGCCTGTTCTGTTTTTTTTTTGCATTTATTTTATTTATGTTTTAATAATTTAATACTTAATCTTTTTATTAGAAGGGGAAGAAAAAAACTACGCTACGTAAACCTTATTTCCTTGTACTTTTCGTACAGTGTTGCCAAATCATTTGTATTGAAAAGAAATATTACAAACACAGTTTCATCACTCTAGATATTCACTTATATATATATGTATATATATGCATGTGTATATGTATTTATTATCATCATAGTTGCTTTAATTAAATTATAACATAATTATTTATATACTCGTATATTATGTACTATACTATATATTTATATATATCTGTATATGTATATATAAGTATATGTATATATTTACCTACTATTCTCACGCTAAGGTGCTAGCTCGCTTCTGGGTTAGCACCAACGGCTTCATTAGATCGGGATACTTAAACGTTCTAGTAAACATCTACATAAACCTTGTTTGCATTTTTATTTTTTTTTTTTTAATAATATTTTTTTGGAATTTACATAAATATTTTCATAGTTCATAAGAAATCAAAAAATAATTAAATTCGAAATACATTTAACAACTCGGTAAAAACCATTACTTAGTATATTTAAATATTTAATTTTAATATCATTTTCTTACTAACATACTAATACACCTATAAGCATAAGAATCTCACAATTTTTAATATTTTTGTCATTAATACTTAGCATTGTATTTATAATTTATAGAAAAATACTATAATAAATTATAACTTAACAAATTTTTTTCAAGAAATTTAATAATAATAAAAATATATGAAACTTAAAAATAAAACAACATGAACATATTATAAAATATATAAACTCAAAAATTTAATAAACTAAATAAAAACTACAAATATTTGCCCTACACTATTAATAACAACACCCAATATTGTCATAATCCGAGAATATATTTTTTTGTGGTCAACTAACGGGCATAAAGTTTAAAACTTAAAAAAAAAATAATAAATTTTGTATAACAAAACAATTAATATTCAAATAAAAAGAAAAACCCGGCCCACTCAAAACCAAAATAATAAATTTAACACAAAAAAAAAAACTAAAACTACAAATAAATAAAAACCCAGAAAATCGTTCATAGAATTTTAAACAAAATAAACAATAACAAAAGAATACAACTAAGCCAATAAATAAAATTTAAAAAAAATAAATAAATATTAAATAAACATTTGCCGAAAAAAAGTTATAATATTCAACCAATATTTAAAACAATATTCCCCACGAATAAAAATATAATTAAACAACACAGAAAATGTACCATGGAATACCTAAAAAAATTAATAACAGAAATGCCAAATAAAACAGAAAATAAAGAAATAGGATTAAAAAAAATTATAATAAATAAATAAATTTTTTTTTTTTTAAAGAAACAAAAAATAAATAAATTTAAAAAAATTAAATATATTTTACACTGAAAATCGACCTTAAATATATAAATAAAACACAAACCCAAAAAAAATGATATAATTAAAAAAATGTATGCTTAAATAAAAAAAATTAAGAAATAAGATTTAAAGAAAACATAAAAATTTTACTAAATTTTTCAAAAAAAAATATCAGAAATTAAATGGAAACAATTTTCAAGAGTAAAACCATATAATTAAAAAAAATAGGAATATTATATATTATAAATAAAAATATTAAAAAATTTATAAATAATGAAAAATTAGAAACAAAAAAATTACTAAATTTTTCTAATAGAAAATATTAGAGAATAAACCAAAAATAAAAAATTAAATAACAAAAAAATTAAATTAAATAACAAATAAAAAAAATTAAATAACAAAAATAAATTTTTCTAAAAATAAATCTCACAAACTAAACTAAAACAATTTTAAAATAGTGAAAACATAAACTTAAAAATATTAATAAATAAATAAATAATGAAGAAATATTATAATAAATAAAAACAAAAAAAATTTTTTTTTCTAATAGAAAATATTAGAGATTAAACAAAAACAATTACTTTTATATTTTTTTTCATTAAATTTAATATTTTTTACAATTTTGATTTACATATTTATTTATTTAGTCAATAAGTTTGCCATTTTTCCATATAATAAAATTTTACATATTTTAACAGATTTACTACTTTCTATACATTTAAAAATTTACATACATACATAAAATAGGAAGTGGGACAAAAATGAAGACGTCGACGATAAAAATAATAATAATAATTAGTTAATAATTATTTTACAATTTAACAAAAATACATACAAACATACGTATGTACATACAAATGCACGCGTATGCATGTACATAAAATACTTGGCAATGAACTTTTAATTAAGTTTATCTTATGGTAAAACAAAACAAAAATACATACATACATAAATATGAAACGAGTAAAAGCTTGGGATATCATATATATACAGCAATTAAACTAATCAGTCAGAGGTTGGAGTTGCGACCGAGTAATTTCAAATTAATATCCCATGTAAGTTTGTATGTAGTAGTATAAAAGATAGGAAAGGGGTGCTTGAACTTCCGCGCGGAGCGAGAGCGTGAGATTGAAATAATTAAAAAAATACAAGTATGAAAATAAATTTGGTTGCAAAAGTCTTGGGTTTTTTACGAGTTTTCGAGTGCGGAGTTTGAATTCTTCATATTTTTTAATCTTATAGTTAGACTTGACAACAGCAATCGGAAATTGGAAAACGGTTATTTTCGACAATATTAACGCAAACTTTATTGTATTATGTTGGGAAATCATATTTTAAATCTTTCGTAGAATTGAGAAAGATATAAGAAGAGCCGTGCTTCAAGAAAACAATATAAAAGGAAGTAAATAATGTCACATTTTGACTTCAGTTTTATTTCCATAGTTATACTTTCTTATTTAAATTTTATTGAGTATTTGCACGCGAAACCATCTACAAATATTTGGAGATATATTACCATCCGAATTATACAGATATATTTGTTCGACAGGAACTAATAAATGATTCAAAAATCGAAAAGATCGTTTTAAAATATTTTGCTGAAATAAAAGTTAGTATTAATTTCAAAAACGGCTTGCAAATTAGTTTCATTAACAGATAATATAAAAAAGTCAAGAAGGGTATTTCGAATCAACAACGTGTTTCAAAAATAAAACTTTTAGATTAATTGTTGTCTCAGAAACTGTTTTTTAATTCTTTTGTGAACTGTTAACGAGCAAGTCGAGAAGCATTATAGACTTTTTCAGCATTTCGTGCCAATTTTAGGACATTTTAGAAAAAAAAAAATAGCGACTCCTTAGAGTTGATCAATAAGGCTCATGTTTGTTGAGCATTTTTTACTTCAAATAGAAATATTTAAAAGGTTGAGAGTTGAAAAAAAAATTAAATTTTTTTGAAGCATGCTAATATGAATACATGTTTTTTTCTTCAAATAATTACTACAATCTCAATTATTTGAGGTTAGGAAATTTTTTGTCGAGACTAATAAGACTTTTATGACAATTTTGATTTGATTGATAATTTCAAGTTGAAAAATACAAACCTATATATGTAGAGTAAGAGTAACGGTAACTGATCTTGATTAATATTCAGCAAAATAATAGGCAAGAGAACACTCAAAGATGTAAACTTTGTGAATTTTTTTTGTAAAGGATTCTAATTGAAGATCCCTATAGTATTTCTCAGTTCAGAAGCTTGTTTTTAATATTTTAAGTTGTGTAGGGCGCAAAATTAATTAGGAAAAAAATAATATTTACTTTTTTTAATATTTTTTTTTACTTATTTTCCACATAACTGTTAGTTTTACTTCTTGTACGCAAGTTTTTACGCTTGTTTTTTTTCATAAAAATTATTTTGATGTTGGTAACTATAAACACGGCAATGAACACTAAATTAGCATTTTTGACTATTGTTTATTTGATTTGTAGTACAATATATATATTTTTTTATTTAATTAAATTATGCATTTTGTTTTATTGTTTTTGTTTTTCGCTTTCATTTTACTGTTGTTTGGTAAGTTCCTGATTTTTTTAATGCAATATACTATGTATGTACATAGATCATTGTCATGTATTATGAATCATATTGTAAATTTTTATATTGTGTGTATGTGTATGTGCCATATTTTTTGTTACATAACTTTATTTTTTTTTTTTGTATTTAACGCGGCTGCATTTTATTTCCCATGGCTAGTTTGCTTTGTATTTGTAGAATACTTAATTTTTTGTTGTTTTTATTTGTAATATTTTAATTTATTTAATAATTTTGTGTATTTCACACAATGACACGCATGCATATGCATGTAAGTATGTACACCAAACCATGCGCATGTTTTTGTATAGGTGAAAGACATACTGCGAGAATTGCTTTTGTGTTGATTTTTGTTTTTTCTTCTTGTAATTTTTTGCATCCGAAAAAAAAGTTGATTTAACAGAATATACAAATAACACTTTTAGTTACATACACACATATAATATATTTATATAAATCAGCTACACAAACAGTTGCCAGCGCAAATTCCATACTAAATACATACATAACGGATTTCGTGCTTCTCATTTGCCTTATTACATATTCTGCATTTGCTTTAATCCCTTTTCGCATTTACTATTGACCGCTTTTGTATATATATTTTTTTTTTGTTTTAAAATTTGCATCTCACGCTTTTGTTTCGAAGCGGCATAGCATTATAAAGCAGACAATCAATCAAACAATCATCAATCACATACAGCTCGATTGTAACGGTAAATTGTAGATATATATATATATATTTTAAATGTAAATTTAAAGTAAAATTTAGCTAGCAAACACTTTACAATAACAACTGAATGAAAATGGAAGGAATAACGCAATATCTAAATTCAATTTCAATTCAACACCCCACTTTATCCTCCCCTCCCCTCCTAGCACTATTCTACGCCTTCTTTCGATTTCTTCAACTGTCACACAACACCGTTATTCAGCAGTTAGCATTTGGACATTTGTAAATTTGCATTTACCGTTTACCATATACCGTTACATTTTGTTATTGTATTTAAAACTGCCCGCGTCACATAACCGGTTTTCTTCGAACTCTGCTCTCGGCTCTTTGTAATTCACTACTTTTATTAACATAAATATTATATCTACAATTACATGTCATACATACATAAATAGAAGTGTTTAAATATTATAAGTTAGTATATAATATTGTGTTATCATATAAATACTTGTATTATAACCGTTCTGCACGAGTTCACCGGTCGGCAACTGTAAACCTCTAAGTTCCCTTAGAATCCTACACTTATGCGTATGTACCTACTTACATAACTGTTGCTTATAATTTGTTGTTGCTTTTTTTAAATTATTATCTTTTGGTTTTCATTTTTATTTTTGAGTCGTGCTCCGATTTTTCAGTTTTCTCAGTAAATTTTAGATATATAAGTATATATTTTTTTTTTTATTAATTTTCACTATTGTTTTAAAAATTTGCCAGCTACGTTTCGCGGTTTCATAAGCTTCACGTTTGAAACTGTTCACTAAATTCACATCTTCGCTTTTATATCAATTTTATTTTAATTAATATTATTATTTAGTTTTGATTTAAAACTATGCTCGATTATTTGAGTTCTATTTATTTCATTTATTAGAAAATATATTTTTCTTCCGTTCCTGTTTTTTTTTGTTTTGATTTTTTGTATGTATGTATGTATTATAATTATTATATTATATATTTAAATTAATTTATTTACTATGAGCTAATTTAGTTACAAAATACAGCATGTCGTTGAACAGCATCTACTGGAACCGCCTTTACTTTTCTGCCTTTGATCTGTTCATATTTTTGGCGAATAGAGAGAAATAAAACATTTTCGGTTGTCAGTGTAAAGGTTTTTTTATGTAATAAGCTTATATATTTTAATAAAAAAAATTTTTCTTATGCCCTAAAAAATATCAAAAAAAAACATTTCTTCAATCATTCTCAAACATTGGTTCGATTATAAGTGGTATGGAAATGTCAAATATTACATTTGTAATGTTCGATTCAAAAAACCAAAAAGGGTGAATAATCGAACAAACAACTGGCATAATCAATAAGAGATAAAATAGCTGATCCATTAATGATCTGTTAACATACAATCTTGTTTGAAATTGTATAAAAGTTTCGTACTTCATTTGTTGTTTTCCCATATGCATAAGTTTTTTGACAAGAAAACAGAACTAAAGCTTGGCGAGCAGAGAAATGGCGATCGAATACGTTTATTTTTTTTTATCACGAAGATAGATGGTTTTTTGATTGCTTAACTAGCTCAGAAAGTGCCGCCACTCGAGTTTTATTGTTGTTGCTTAGAAATTTAGGTAAGGATTTTAAAAAATTTCAAGCGATGATTTTCTATGACTTTTGACATGGATCAAACCAATTTTTGGTCTGAGAGCATTAACTTTAACCATCCTGTTTCTTGGTTGCCGAATTCAAATCTGATCGCATTCCACAGCTGGATGAAATTCTTGAAAATTGACCAAGAACGGAAATATGTTACAAAATCAACGTCTGACATTTTCAAGATTAATATATAGCAGTCCGTGAGTTTGAAGAGTTTGGTCATTAGTTTCACGCAGGATGATTAGTTGACCGACAAAAATCAACTCATAACCGATCATTTCATAAACATCAATGAAATAAGCACCCATAGGAGTGGATTCAATCGAATCCACAAGTAATTTCCATTATAAAAATTAGTATTACTTTCATGTTGAAATAACAATACTTATGACCAGCTAATGATTCACTTTTGAGTACAAGTTGATAACTATATTATTCTCCAGCTGAAACTTGCTATCATCTAAAAGCTTCTTATTTTTGTCGTTAATTCAGTAATTTTCTATTGAGATACTGCTGACAAAAAAATTAAGTATTTTAAAAACCTAAGATATATTAAATTTTTAGCTAAAAATATATTGATGGTAATTTTTGAAATATAATATATGTATTTTAAAAGAAACTTTTTTTTCTATCGATAATTTCTTGATTATTTAACCAAAAAGTGAAGTTATTGTATTATGATCATCTCGTTATAATGTCTAATAATTTGGAGGATGAATAGAAAATACAAAGGTTTTTAAATTATATCTTAAATGTTAAATTATAGTATGGGTGACATTTTCAGCCATAATATTTTTATATTGTAGATGCTTTTAATCATTAAACTCTCTACCAAAAACACTTTTAGGAAATTCACGAGGAAAAACTATCAAACTTACTTAAATATAAAATAGAGATTGATTTCACAAGCTTCACATGCTATGGAAAAATATTTTTTTGAAAATCTTAGCATATGTCTCTGAGTACAAGCTTAACCCTTTACTCAATTTATGTAAATATTATATAATTCAACTCCAACCATGAAAATTTGGGATACATTGTGACTAAAAAAAGCCCGAATTTAACCATTATTTCTAATACCACATTTCTCTACAATCATTTAGTCTCCTAAATAACCGTAATATATACATACATACATATTTATGTTCGTATTATTATCACTTACCTTGCGAATTGGGTTCTGGCAAATTATCACGCGGCACTAAATGCATAACAGTCGTTTTGCCCAGCGGAAGTCCCAGTGCGCCTAAAGTTACATTGCAATGTAGAAATCTGCCTTGATATATGAGACGTAGTATTTCGGCCTTGGAGACCGCTTCACGCTCCCAATCTGCAAATACAAAAACAAGTGCAACAACAAAATTAGAATTGTGACTAAATAGTACCCGCACTTTTGGCACGTAATGTGTGGTAGGTGTTACATTCTCCGAATTATTTTAGAGCAAATTCACTAAACTATGATAAATATTTGACTTAATGTGTTTAAATTACGCATTTCGAACTTTGTAATTGTTGTTGGCTTAATATTATTCAGATAACAACAAAACGCATTGCAGCATTTGCAACAACAATGACGCTGCAGTCAGTCTGACTCATTTAGGCACTTTGACGCCCTCAACACCTCACACTACCATAATTACAATACATGCATACATATATGCATATACTCGTACATGGTGGCTTTTATGCTGTGGGACCCAATTTCCACAAGAGTGCATTACATTCACATATAAATGCAGAACTTTGAAGGGACCGTGCTCACATTATTGTGCCATCATTAACGCTTGATTGTTGTTGTTGTTGACTATGAGTCACATGGTTGCATCAATTTTGCTATTTTGATTATTATGCGGGCTGGAATGGAGCTACATGGTCACATTCGGGTGCATCCAGAGGCCTTATGATCAGACCAAACGCTGTCATTCATTACATACATGCATTGATATTCATATGTATAGAATTATGTGAACAATCAATTTATGTGAGAGAGTGAAAACCATCAAATATCTAGTTTGGCAAGGATATACATATGTGCCTATTGGAGGTCACAGTAACCATTTTTGGGCTGTGTAGGTGGTCAGTCTCGACGATTACCTCTTTTTAGTCACTCAATTTATTTTCAGTAATCATTTGCTTAAGATCAAACAACAGGAAATAGCGCTGTGGGTTAGAACCCGATAATAGGAGTGGATGTGATGAAATTCGATAAAATAGTTTTCTTTTATTTGAGACATAGCGTATGACTCAATGTAGAGCTCGCGTGGTATGCACTCGGCAGCTTGTCACCTGAGAGTTTACGCGTACTCATATATTCACGAATAATCGAATATACATATTACGTTATATTATATATTGAGAGTGTTTACTATTTCTTCAACTTCATTTTACGGTCATCCAAAATAATTTAATAGCTTTTCTATATGTTTTCGGCCGTAATGGCCGTTTTTTACCGAACTTGAAAATGGTTTCCTGCAGCAGAGCCCGGATAACAGTCATGTAGCCATTTTTTTTAACAGCAGCATTTTTTATAAATGATACTGTTCACTCAGCTACTGACATGAGTTCAGAGTTTTCGAAGAGATTTGGTTGTTTTTTTTTTGATTCAAATGAAAGTCTAGACTACCTTTTTTCTCAAAAAAAAAAATCCTTTTAAGTACAGAAAATACGATAAGAAAGAACACTTCCGACCAGTTCAAAGTAAAGTTATCTTAATTTCATTCAGAAACCGATAATAAGCTTTCATGAATGCTTTCCCGGTTTTAAGCTGAACCTGTCAAGTAATTTTTAACATCACGAAGAGCTATCAGTTTTTGTTTTTTGTTTCAACGTCACTTCAAAGAGCCAAAATTTTAGAAAGCAGGGCAACGATACAACATTCTAACCTAACAACGGTGTTACAACGTGGCAAACCTAATATACCCATTTAATGGTATTTAAATTAGCATCCCCAACATAGTATGTGTTAGTTTTATATTTGCTCGAAAACATGGAAAACTTCACCACAGTGCACCGTGGATCTTTGAATGTGATAAAAGGAAGACAGAGCAGCTGACTGCACATAATCCACTGTAATATTGTTAATGTTGCATGTATTGTAACTATCTATTGTTGTTTCGAACACTAAGCGACGGCAAAGGCAAAGTGTTGCTGCCTTTGCTGCTCTGCTGCTTTTGTGTGTGTGTGCGTGTGCGTACGTGGGTTCGGTTGTTTGCTAGTGGTAAATAAATCAGGATAAGTTAGCGACAAATGCAGCGCCTTCATTAGCAAACGACAAATGAATATTAAATAGTCTCTACACACAACAACAACAACAATTGGCGAATATCTGCTGCCCAATTCACACAACAGAGCCATTGGCTGCACTGCGGCGCCTGCAACCCGTGCAACTACAACAATGCGTTAACAAACATGCATACATACATACATACATATGGACGTATGTATATGCTACAGCAGTTACACGAGGGATAGCCGAGAGTCAAAATAGTTAAGCAGCAGCAACAACATTAATTGGTTGCTGACAACTATTCCAGTTTATTAAGAGGGGTAGGGAGACAGAGAGAACGTATATGGGCGATACGGAACGGGATGAGCAGCAGGCTTTCACTGCGAATTAGTATATGTATGTATGCATGTACCTGCCTTTGCCCATATGTACATATATATGTATCGTTGCGTGTAGGCGTGATCGACACAAAGCGCGTGGCTAATGGTCAAAGTAAAGCAACAATATGTGCCAATATACATATGTATGTATGTAGAAACTTTCTGTTTAGATATAGAGGGTTTTCCAATAAGAGCGATATGCTTTTTTTTCAAAAATAAACAACTAATTGTTAAGGAAATTCAAATTTTTTATTTAATGTGAAGTGTATTCGATACAATTATGTTCTGAATATAACACCATTCAAAAGGCCTCCACGACTTCTTTTGCAGGAGCGATATTAATAATAGCGCAATAATTCGGTTGTTGCACGTGCTGTGTGGCACGTAGCCGCGTCTTTTGCAACCAGATATTGTCAAGATCAACCGCTTCCAATTGCGGCCATAAAAAGTTGGTTATCATCAAACTATACCGCTCTTCATTGACAGTAACGATGTCCCTAGCTTCATTTCGAAAGAAGTACGGACCAATGATTTCACCAGACCAAAAACACACATGTAATGGTTGTTCATGAATGATTTGTGGATTTTCTTCTCACCAGAATCGACAGTTATGTTTATTTACCGTAGTACTCAGATACAAGTGATCCTCATCGGAGAAGACGATTTTCTTAAAAACATCGTTATCGTTTTCAAGTCGTTCCAAGGCAAAATCAGCAAATTCACGACGGTTACGGTGCTCCAATGGCTTCAGTTCTTCAGTGAGAACAATTATATATGGAAGCAAGCCCAAATTGTTTCTCGAAAACCGGCAGGTTGTGGTTTGAGACAGTCCCAATTCTTGAAAATATCTTGGAATCGACAAATTGCAGTCTTCAGCAACACTTGCCTTAACGGCAGCAATATTTTAATTACTTGAAGCGGTTCTTTGTCTTATTGGCACTTGAACATTATATAAAGAAAATGTACGCTCGATAATTTCAACAATTCGACGAATAGCGAGCACAAGTGGAAGATTATTACGACCGTAAAACGGCAAAAGCGCAGGAAAAGTTGCAATTGGAGAACGATTATTTTGATAATAAAATTGAATAATTTGTTGCTCTTATCGATAACTTTCCACAACGAAATTGTAAACATTACTGAATACAATGAAAAAAAAATTACAGATCATGACGTATTAAAAATGCCCGAAACGACAGTTAGAAATCATATCACCCCTATTGGAAAACCCGATACATACATATGACACTATCGTTGTGCCCGTCGGGTGGCAGCACGAATTGTGGCTCGCGGACAGTCAATTTAACACCGTTGACCCGCAGTGGGAAGTAGGCTGTGTAGTGTCTATAGCCAGGACATACTAAGTGGGCTGATGGACTGAAATCCCCGACAACAACAACAACAAATATACATATGTGTGCGCGAAACGTAAATTGACATTTTTCAATGTGATTGCGCTGACGGAATACTAATTTTAAGCAGCAAATATGCACAGGACCACGTTATATGAATGTACGTTTGTAGATGAGGGTATACCTAGCAGAAATTCCAACTATTTCAGGACGAAGGTGAAACGAAGCGAATGTGGTTACGAGATTCTGGCAGATTGACCTATAAATAGTTCAACTATTTGCTTGGAGTTTTCAGGCTCCTGAGTAAAGAGAGTGTTATAAGTTATACGAAGGGAACAATCTAGCAACTTTATAAAGTTTTTTCACAACTATGTTTTGCTTAAGAAATTAAAAAGGAATCTTTTTAAAGAACTTCACATACCAAATCTAACCTAATAAACTCAATTTGAGATTAATATCAATACAAAGCCAAACAAAGCAAAATTTTTGACTCTCTTCTACAAACTAATTAGCAATAACTATTACATGTATATCTTATATTTCTGCCAGAACCTAAATTTTTATTTTATTATCAAATTAATAAAACCAGATTTCTCAGTTGAAAAACTAGTTAGCTTTAAAAACGAGACTGGTTATGAACAGGTTAAAAATTCACCACTTCAGCAAATGACAAAGAGAAAAGAAAATAAGCAGATAAGCTCAAAACTTGCTTTATATAAGGAGAAAACCTTTTTGAAGATTTACGAGACTAGTTCAAACTCAGGTGTAAATGTTTCTAAATTTCATATAGCTGATTTTGTTTTGAAATCAAAAATTAACTACTTGAAACAAATGCGCTCACTTATGTTAAAATTAATTATGTTATGATTAAGTAAACAAAAATAAAATATAATATTAATATGCTAAGACTTCTTATTTTTAAATAATTGTGTTATAGCACCATTCTATAACCAGCTGTTGACTAACTGGTAGCATTTGTTACCATTTGAAGACTAGACCGCTAGGCTAGAATGATTTCGAATTATAACACGCTTATTATGGGGCAGTGAAATGTACAATTGTATGTTATATGCAGGTAGTATAAGTTAGTCAAAGTTTTCACTTTTGTTCGTTTAAAATTGAGTGATATTCGATATTATTTAGGTTAAAAGTGAGGCTAATGATTATAGTTTACTTTATGAGCTTAAGTACTATAATGATTAGCAACTAGAAAATTTTGCAAATGGGAAAATGTGTTTAGCAAACAGGTCACAAATATAGGTTAAATTTTTTTTAAGAAGAATCGACCCAGCTGTCTATATTTTAATCTATATTTATTATAATATACATACACACATATATTCATCATATTAACGCTAGGAAAACTGTGTAC